ACTATGATCAGTCAAGTCTGGTTTGTTCATCCGTCCCTTTTCTTTACAATTCTTCCATTTAAATTTTAGCTCCTTCACAAATATCTCTTCTTCCACCTCAAGCTTCCACCCTTCTCTAATTCTCAAATAAACATTTACAGCACATCCCCTCACTTCCGACCATTTTCCTCCAGGCATTCTCCATAAAGTCATGGGACTTGGACAGTCTTTCCAGTGACCTCACGATTTCTTTTATAAAAATTTTTGTCATTGTTCTTTAACAAATCTGCTGTTCCTATAAACCATACCAAAACTGGACACCACTCTCTCCTTCACGTCTTACCGTTCTTGTCTCTTAAAATCTGAGACACTTTACAATAGGGACCTATCATTTACATATTAAGAATTTTGCACGAATAAACAGCAATCATTTCTCACGTGAAAAATACCTGCTCTGCAGCAGAACAGTGCCAGGAAGATACACACACTGCAGAAGTCCAGGTGACTGAGTAAAACAGGTAGACAGAACAATTGCAGAAATCTGATAAATCTTGAACTTACAAATTCACCAGTACCAGCATATATTTGAGCAGAGCCCTACTGAAAAGTGGACTTTTAAGAAGAAATTGCTCCGTATTCTATAAAGAGATCAGAAAGAGAATGGTCACTGGTAAGCATGACAGGCTAGTGTAAACAAAATAAATTATCCCTGGAGCATATAAATGTTATATTAAATACATATGTCAGCCCAAGCCTTTGAAGATTATTGTGTTGGCTAAAAAGGAGTTTTTACAGTTGTGCGATTTGAAGTAGTTAAAAGTTCATTTTTATTCCAAGTTGAATGTGACTGTTACAAAATAGAAAACCTTTCATCTGGAATCTGCAGAAGCAAGACTCTAATGTAAACTTCAGCAGCAGCAGAAAGCAAGCTTTACAGAGTTTTATTCCCTCATGGGAAGGCTGTGTAATTAGTTAGGCTTTATGGAGTATTACTTGACTTATGTTAGACATTGTAAGCGTGAACAACGTCCGGGCCTTTCAGCTTTAGAAAATGTCCACTCCAAAAATGATATTTTGCTACAAACACAATAGTGAAACCTGCTCTCTCATACTTCTTCTGGTTCCTCAGTCATATTGCAAAGGCAATAATCTTCGCTGCCTGGTGGCTAACAAGCCTAGGGAGAAAATAAAAACACTCCACAAAGGTCAAAAACAAACAATACACTGTAAAATGTGAAAAAGGCCAAAATAAAGAAGAAACACTTAGGACAAGAAAAGAAGAAATTAAAAAAGACAAAGTACACGCACCATGCACACAAGCTGGAGAAAAAGCAAAAAGGTTAAATAAAAATAGATTCAAGGTAAGGACAGAAGAGAGCTGAAGACTCTCAATGCTAATGAGAAGAGCTGATCCAAAAATAAAAAAAATCTCATAATGAGACATCAAAAACCCTGATGATGTAAAAACAAAGGAGAGAACAACCAGGGATGAAAGTAAGAGCAGTAATCAACCAAACAAAATCTTCAGTTAATTGTAATGCTATGCATAAAAAAAAAAAAAAAAGGCAGCGATCTGTATTTCTAATTACTCCTTGTAGCCGAAGAAGACAAAAGTAATAAAGTTTTTGGTTCCAAGAAACCAGTGACAATAAAAACCAAAAGGACATCAATATTAATCAGCAAAAAGAAGAAACAAAAATATAATTCTCTTGTTTCAGCGTTTCTGAATAAGAAAATATAATTTAAAGAACCTGCTAATTTTTATGCCACTTTCCCACACTAAAGTCACTCTTCTGTATAGTAACCTGAAGAGTCAGTTCCCAATAACAGCACTGACAGAGCACAAAATACAGGGACTCTAAAGGCACCAGGTGCCAAATTCTAGTGCCAACACCCCACTATGGCAGTAGAGTGTACCGTAATCTACCATCAGTTTTAACATTACCATTCCTACTTTCTGGTCTTACCAAACAGCCATTTATCTTCAATAAACAACCCTCTAAAAAGATACACCATTTCATGTTTGAGGGTAGTGGACTTCTGCAGTATGAGATGCTGCACCTCTGACAGTATGTGATTTCCATCGCGTCTCTCAGCTTCCATGTTCTTGGGTAATGGCTTTGGACAGCACAAGGTTAAACAAGAACATCACCTTCCTTCACACAGGACAGACAAATGTTTCTGCAAGCTAGTTGTGGCAGTACACCTATCATGAGCTGTACACGTTCTAAACATCCCAATATGTGAAGTCTCTTCACAAGCTGTATGTTTGGAAGCCCTCATCATGGAAGATAATGGAAATTACCTTATTTTAGAAGCTTTCCTTAACACAAGAACATGAATTTGGAACTGAAGAAGAGCAGGAAATTGGGGTAGTCTTCATTTTATGTCTCGTTTCCAAAAACAATAAAAAGAAACTGCATAAAGGTTTCAATTCCTCCTCCTTTATGCCCTTAAACAGGTTCAAAATTAAACAGGGGACATTTGTATCTTATTTTTATAATAAAAAAGATTTGACCTCACACCTACCCGCAGAGGGATACAGGCTTAAAGAATGACCACATATCACTTCGTGAAACACACTGCAATACATATAATGTTTGCGTCCCTAGAGCTTCTGTGTTGGAGTACCCTTTGGCTTTTTACAGCTAAGCACTAGTGTTCAAAGGCTTCTTACTACAAGCACACGAATACCAATGACAGCCTCCTTATCCTTCTGGCAGTATAGCACAGCTTGGCTTAACACAGTCAGACTTCTCCCCAGTTCTAGTGGAAATAACATAAAATTTCTCAGGTAGTAAAGAAGGTCCTTCACTTAGCACAGTCCTTGTTTCTTTTATGTGCCTTTTCTATGTCACTTCCACTTACTAAGCGTTCATACTGGAACACATATTAATGCAGATGTGGAGTCGAGTTGCATTCAGCTTGTAAGAATTTCTGAATCTGTAACTGAGATTAGCCAGATCATCCCTTTGATGTGGATAAAGCAAAAAAGCAATATAAAACCATTGGGAACTCATCCTATTGATGATCAGATTCCAGGTCCAACAGCCTGGACCCACCTCCTGTCTTTCTACATTTCAATTCATTAAACACCTTCAAGTGGAACCTGTACTCCCTCTCATGGTGGTTTCTTTCACCACAACTCACTCAGGTTTAGGAACCTCCAAAGGTTTCTGATCCTCCTTCAGCCACTTGCCATCCCCAGTGGATGTTGCCATACAAACAGCAGTAACCATGTCATCAAACCTGAGATCTTTTTAAGGGAAAGGGTGGGCTGCTGTCTAATGTAACCAAAACACCAGACAGCCTCTTAAGTTACTTACATTTCCTCAAGACCCATAAAACTACATGAGCCTCTTCACTCAGCCATACAAAGGTCAGACTAAGTTTTTCTTGATCATCCTTATTAGAAATATATAACAAATGGTCAGGAGAACATATGATCCTTTATGTAGCCCCATTTTCTGCATAACTTACATTAGCAGGTTTGCCAGGCTTTTGAGTAGTTTGTCTATTGTTGTTGCCCCTAAAATCCAGCAACATGTATAGGTGTTTTTCTTCAGAATCTCAATTTGGAGTAAAAACATTCTTTATCAATAAAATCTTGCAGCAGCTCTTCATTTTGATTATATTCCTTAACACAGGCAAACATTAACAGTGTTTCATTCACTAAGGAGTGAATGGATAAAAACAAACAAAAGAACCCCTCATTATTCTATTTTCAAGCCTCTTGTACCTTCGTCCAATGCTTTTTTAAAATCAAACACTTATGATAGGTATAATTAACAACTTCTGGCTAAAGAGGCTGAAAGGAGACCAGTAATGAAGATCAGATTACATTCACAGTAAAATGCACAACATTTACCCAAATTCCATTGTTGTTCTCCTGTAGAAAATGTGAAGGCGCAGGTATTATTAGTGCACTAATATTTGTTAAGAACCTCTGGTGAAGGGATTATCATTATCTACTTCAGTAATATCGGATTTTTGTACTACATAGGAAATGAACAAAGGACAATAAAAGAATATATATAATAGCAACTTGCAGTGCTCTCTGCAATCACAGTGTACAGAAAGGTAATCTGTTATATGTTAACAATACTGTTACAAGGTAATCTACTAAACCTGAAATCATCCCTTTTAGTTTCAAAAAAGACACAAATATTTTCCTTTGAAAAATGTCTCCAAGACGCATAAAAATAATAGAAGAGTAATAAATGCCACAAACTTCTATGATACTGTGTAAATAAAAGAAAACATCCTACAGAAGACATGCTCATCAAACTGAGATAAGGGCTGATATTAGTATAATATTCCACAACTGATTCTCAGAAAACTTGCCGTGAAGTGTCTGCACCATATTTGGAAGTGGGCACAACAACCAGTTTTGACTTTTTTTTTCCACTGAAAATACAACTAGGAGAGGGAGAACAGTTACTTGGAAAATCTAAAAAAAGAAGATATGAGCACCAGCAACAAAGGACCCATTTTCTAGCTATTACCATCAGTACACAAAGACAGGTTTGATTCGATTTCAAATGCCATGACTTACTGACACTAGCAGCTCCTCTGAAATCTTACAGATTATAACATACCCTTAAAAGGGAACTTTCTCTTCACTGATACCCAAAATTCTAGAATGGCCTTTATGAACAGTTAACTCCAGAATTTGTTATGCACCTGAAAAAGAGATCATGTACTACACTACAGAACTAATGGATAAATGCTTAAGATGAAATGACCACTTTATAATATACTGTCAACTGCTCCACACACAACTGTCTCAAAAATTTCAGTATAACTTGTCTTTCAGAGAAAAACCTTTTTCTTTGAGGACAGGATTAGTAACATAACATTCATCAATGAAAAATGGTTAAGACTGAAAATTGCAGGGTAAACCCATACTTTTTCTTTTAAGAACATTAACCTAGAACATAATATGGCATCACAGCAATTATCATTCAAGCAACGGGTCTGTGTGTGTATATATATATATATATATATATATACATTCTCACCAAATGTATGAGCGCCATGTTCCTGATGACTTTCTTTCTGCAAGGCTGTCATTTTTTTATGAGCATCAACCCACCATGGCTTGTACTTTAAGACACGCTGAATAGCTTCATCTTCAAAAAAATCAGCTCTAAGAAAAAAAAAAATGAAGTCGTACATTATTTATTTCAGTTTATAGTGTATGTAGGTATATTTTAATGCATATACAGAATACACCTGACATTGCTCCGGGCTATTTTCCATATGTTAGAAGTTCTTTTACTTAAAACTAGAAAATAATCATTACTAAAAAAAACCCCAATATTCTCTTATCTTACAGTACCCCTTCCTTACTTCCTCCATCTTTCCTGAGACACCCAGAAGCCTAGGAAATTGATGAGCTTGCAGCATGACATGAAGGTGAACAAACCTGATTTGTTCTGGATGAATCTAAAGGAAAACATGCCAAAGAGAAGACCCCTCAGAGAATGTCACTAGCAGCAAACCTGATTTTACTGGGATGCTTTCTCATTTGAAAACTGCGTATACTTTGGAGAGGACAGGTGTGCAGCTGAGGGCAAAGATAAAGTAGGGATTGGGACTGACTTTTAGGTAAACAAAGGCATGCTGTAGCAAGGTAGAGAAAGAGAAGTTGTACATGAATTCTGGAAGAGAGATTGCCTCCATCTCAGTACAAAGCCACTGTGGTAAAAATCTCAATATATTAATTGTAGGAGAATTTGTACTAAAGGAATCAAGTTCTAAGCCCCCTCTTAGCATTTTAGCTTTTTTTTCAAGCCAAACAATAGTATAAATACTGAGAACTGAAAAAAAATGCATGAAACTTCTTAATACCTTCTTGATCATCATACAAAACCTGTCCAGTCTACTGAACACAGAACGTAATTTGCTTTACTCTCACACTGACAGATTTTTTTATTCCTTTCTTCAGTGTCTTCATAAAATAACTTAAAGATATCAGCCTGTGTACATCTTCCACAAAGGCAAGAGAACACTTCTGTTTGCTACCATTTCTCCCAGATCTGTCCTTTTCATCAGGGTACAGAGGAAACCAATTTTTGTTGAATAAAGGTATCGTCTCTTTTGAAGCATCTAAAACACAGACATTAAACTAATGGTTGTAGCTCATCTATGAGGCTTGAACACAGAGTCTAGTATAGAAAATTACTGCAATTTGCATCACATTATAGGTTAGGAACTACTTCAGTTCTAGTGAAATGTACTTCCAAGTGACCTTTCAAGAAAGCTTTTCTAATTTCTGTGTGCTACAGAAAGACGTGCAGCTGGCTCTGAAACACTTGACTAGGGAAAAATTCCAAGTTTGCAAAGATACCTTCTGAAACAACTCAAAATGGGTTAAGCCTCTCCCTGACAGAGCACACCACAAGTACCAGTTTGCCCTACTGGGGACTACGCTCTTCTACCACCAAATCAATCTTACAGGAATCACTGTATTAATGGATCTCATGGCTTCAATTTAGTTTATTTACCTGGAAGTGTCTGAAACTAACTTGACCTGAAATACTCCAAGTTGAAAGACAGAAAGAATCATTTCCACCTTCATTATATTGAATGAAGCACAACAAAACATTAAGTCTTGACTTGGAACTTTTCTTCATTCTGCTGTAAAAAATGTTTGATGTGATAAAGGCAAAAGCGAAGTGGCCTAGACAAAATGTTCATAAAGTCAAAACTCAAATTTACTTCCTCATAGACCAGGATGGTTCAGTAATCCTTGTTTCACAAGGGGAAAGTTCTGACATCTACAGTCCAAACGCTGGCAGGGACTGGCTACTCAGCTGCAGAAGAGGGGAACTATGGAACAAGGTTCTGCAACAGTTCACATCAGCCCCTGCTTGAATACAGACGTAAGCAGTAATTAAACAGTAAAGTAACTATAAAACAGATAAGCAAAATCTTGTCAGTGTCACTTAAGAATACCCTCTAAGGCCTAATGTGATGAGCTAAAGAAACAGACAAATAAGAAGTAAAGCTATTATTTCCAAAAGTGACCTCAAACCCAATCATTTATGAAAAGAAAAACTGAATATATTTCAACTGAGGTACTTCTAGTTGACCAGGTGAAGTAAATCAATGCTCACAGGTAATGATCAGGGTCAAACTTGGCAGCCTCAGCTGCCAGGCGCTTCCTCCTACGTTCTTCTACAGGAGTTTGGTCTGGATCCTTAATGTCAATAACATCACTGAGTTCATCCTGCAAATGGAACAAAAAATTCTATGACAAAGCCACGTGTATGATATGCAAGATTTATTTAGGAGAAGTTTAGGAAGGATGCTTATCATTACACTGAAATCCCTAGTTGCTCTTCAACCTCCCTTTCAAACCTTATAAATTCAGGCCCCATTGTGCAAATAAAACATCAAAATTCTAACAAAATTCAATTATTTGAAGCTCCTTACAACTCATGATTCTATGAAGTCTATTCATGCCATTTTATCATGAGGCAGGTAGGTTATTTTGCGTTACAATAAAACTTGCAATGTTTAACAAAAGCACACAACCACAACAAGGACAAGATAAAAACCATATATATTGTTCTTGTGACTTTTGAGATTGCTCTCACACTCTGAGGTGGCCATATACTAATGAATGGGCAACTGCAGTGCCCTTTAAGCATCAAGTAGTGGTACACTAAAGCTGATGGGAAATGTACTTCTTCACAAATTTCATGGTAATAAACCAGTGTATATATCCTAAAAGAATGTAAATATTTTTTCCATAAATAGCAATCCTTCTGCTCCAAACCCTGGAAATACTACAATTCATGCAATAATGAGTTACAGTTATGTAATTAAGTTGCTTTAAACAGCTACAACTTAAATCACTTCAAGTAAAAACACTACAAAAAATTAAGTAATACTCTACTACTTTAATAAAAGTTCTGCATACTACGAATACTATTATACTACCCAGCATGCTACAGGTTGTAGATAAGCTTCAATCTATTAATGAATTAAAGGAACTGCTGAACGCACCAGAGCAAAATAACTACCTTTTAAAGCTCCTACCCTATCAATTAATCCACAAAAGCAAATTTCAGTGTATCAGCATAACCCTAATAAGTCCCACAGACACCGAGTGGGCAGACACCTTGAAGACTGCACACTTCAAAAATCACTGTCTTGAGAGAAAATCAAGTCTAAAATAAAAAGTACAAAGAGAAAATTACCATGAATTTCACAAAAAAAAAAAAAATAATGCAACAACCACAACAGGACCTATAGATATAGATTAGCCAGCTTTATTTTGTGGGGGTTTTTTTATTATTCATTTCTTTTTAATTTAAAACTAGATTAAAATTCACAGCATCTGAAATATACTGTACACTGATGTTTGAAGTCAGAATGGAAGACAATACCAAATATAAAGCAAAAGTGTTAACAGCAGCTTGTTAACAGCCTGTAGACTCTTTGCAGCTTGCCAGAACCATTCAGCCAACACGTGGCCTGCTTCATACAGGCCTTTTTCTCTGTGCCATCACGGGCCAGCTGAACTGCGCTGGTGACAGCAGCCCACTTCCAGAGGACATTTTTACCAAGGACCCCATTCAGCCCTTTCCTCTAACACTGAAATTACTGTAGAAACAGACTCTGCTACACAATTTACTCTGTCTCCACCACCCCCTACTTCTGCAGGAACAAGGATTTGTCTGTACTACTACATGCAGAAGCAGAACGCTCTCAGTCACAGAATGGGATAATGGAGAACAGTTACCTAATGATGCTCTCCTGACTATGGAATGAACCAGAAAGCCTACCCAATGAAAAAGTTACTCAGAATTTTTATGATAGGAAGAGACAAAAATGCATCTACCTGCAGCCGCTGGAACACCCCTGACCGCAAATTCCCAAATCCATAGCGGTACTGTAGTGGTAGGGTACTTCCTGAACCTTCTTTGTAAGAGGTCTGCTCTATTTCCCAGTCAAATTCTTCTTCCTCCTCCTCAGACAACTCAGCAGAGGCAGCTATACACATTGCATTTTCAGAGAAAGAAAATTGTTACATAGAAAATATATATATATGATGTAATAGAAAGGCAAACACTGATAACACAATAAGCCTTTCTCATTTTACTACATCTTTTAAGAAATCTTATATAACACTAGGTCATACAGGCAGATGCTTACATCAGTGATTGATAGGCCCTGCTCCAAATTCTCCAACTTTCACAAAGGAAGACCAAGAACACTAAAGTTTTTAAGTATACTCCCCCAAAGACTGACATAACTGTTCCACTGATTTCAACATCAGAATTTGATACTGAGAAAATCCTTACAGGAGCAAAGTGATGTCATCAATAATTTAAGATAGGTATTAAAAAATTCACCACAGCTAGTCAAACATCCTTGTCTGTTAAATACTTATGTTAAGCAAGTCATCCACTAGAACCCGTGGTTTTAATTAGCTTCCACCATTTGAGCCAGAAGTCCAGTTGTGCTAGCTTGTCAAAAGCAGGACTCAAATGTGTGTGTATTATACAGCCACTAGAGGGGTACAAAGACCTACAGAGGATTAGCGTATGTTAAGCACATTCTGGAAAAACATAAACATCGACATGTGTATCACCTACAACACTTTTATTTCTATACTTATCCCTCCTTTCAGATCCATTCACAACCTTCTCGTACCTCGGACTAGACAATAATAGAAATACTGTATTCTCCTACCTATGTCACTATGTGTAGCTATAATTACTTCATTATGTGTATGCATCACTAGTATAAACAAGATTTTTTTGTCATACCTATCTCTTCTACTAAAGGCTTTGCTGATCTTGATTTCTTTGGTGCTAGAAGAGATGTCAGCATGTCCAGTCCCTCAAAATATTGGCCAGGAATCTCCTTAGGTAACCGGATTGTAAAAATTCCTTAAAGGAAAGTCAGAATACAGTTATTGCATTCAAATATCCAAGACAAACAAAAATGTGCATTTTTCCTCTAATGAATAAGGCTCACAGAAACTGGGACACATGCAGGTAGCATTTTCTTACATCCATTTCTATACGTGTTTTTAACCATACTTCACAAGTTTCACAAAAATCAAAGATTTTCACGACAAAGCATGAAAGAGAATATTTAACCAGTTGTGGTCTCTTGACTCACATTGTATAAAAAACACAAGGCAACAGAATCGAAGCTTCATTTTATTTTTAATCCTTCCACCAATCAGGCCATCAACAGAAGATCACAAAGATATTACATTCAGCACTGATTACTGTCTTAAGTCAAGCATGGAATAAAGGCTTTGCAAGCGGAAAATTATAGGGTTTATTGCTGATTTGTGGTTTTGGTTTGTTTTTTTTTTTAATGAATACAAGAATTCCAAGAGATATGTATTTTAATCGAGAAATACCTTCCACCTTAAGGTGTAGAAAAAGGCTAATGTCTTCTTCTCTCAAGATGTAGCCAAGAGACTGCCACAGGATTATCTGATTTCTACTCAGAACTACCTGACTTCTTTGTAAGTTTACTAGTCTAAAGATCTTGGTATAATAGCATGTCTAGCCCCCACAAAGCTTGAAGAGGACTTGTACATAATTTTTTTTCATTATTAGGACAGTTCTGAGCATGTCCTTTGTGTTTAAGGGTGGCCTAAATATGTACAATAAATCCTGAGAAGGATTTTTTGATACTACATAACACAGGAGAAACTTTACATATATTTTCAGTATCATATATGTCACCAGAGTCCTAGGCAATTCCAGTGTGGCAAAATATAAATTAGTGGAGAGTTGGGAGCATTTTTATTTACACATATACTAATAACATTAACTAATACCTTTGTCTGTATTATAAGTTGCTTTTTCTCTGCCATCTTCTACAATTCTTCCAGGAAGCGTCAATCTGCGGGCAAAAAAATAGATGCCTCATTGAATGACTGACTAATTCCTCAACTTAACATCTCAGCCTGTAAAAATGTAAGGCACATTCCAAAAGCATCACAAAGGACTTAACTACACGACTCCTCTTGATAGTAATGGAAGTCATGCAGTTAAATCCCCACATGCTTCAAAATCTTTTTCCCTAACTACTGGCACAAGAGATCAGCATCTGGGTTAGAGACTGTATGTGACTCCTGGTTTCCCAGCTTGGACGATGTCACAGCCACCAAAGAGATGACACTCTTGGCACTACGTGCAACACTTGAAAGATTGTACAATTTAAAAAATCTAAGCTAACCCACAGTGGCAGGGTATGAGAACTCTATCCAGAGTTCTTGTATTGCTTATTGAGAATAAACAAGTCACTACATTCTACCAGCCCACTGAAATCCCTTGTGGTCACTAATGTATATAGGGAAAGCGTGACCAAGAACACAGGAAACAGAAAATAAGAAAGGTTAATAGCTCATCAGCTCCTACATGCCAGCGGTTCTCTTAACACATTCATACTGAGATTGCCTCTTGCTCCTTTTCTGTAGTGTAGTGGGGAACTTGTTATCTAGAGAAGAGACACAGCCTGGAACCTCACTTCCCACTGCCTCTAGTCACACGACTTTTCTCCCTTTATGTTATTACAGGTGCATCAAAATCCACCCTTTACCACATATACTGTCCCTGGCTCTCAGCAGGGAAAAAGACACACTTATTCTGCACAACTTACATACATCCAGAGAATTGCCTTGCCATTTTACAATTAAGAATCAACTGTAAACTTAGAAAAGTATTTCTTTAAACCCCCTTTAATGAGATTTAATGCCTAGAAACAAAGAGGCCAGATCCATAAAAACAATTATTCATGCAAAACGGGCTGTCTGCAATCAACAGTGTAAAAGCTGCAGATGAGGAATTTTCTGAAGGGACCAAAATGAAGTTATTTCTCTACTGACTTCCCCTTATTTTATCAAGTCCAATTTTCCTTTTAAATCCTTCTACTACTTGCCTGAGAAAGTATGGCTTAGCATAAAACTTAAAATCTTCCCCTTCAAAATACACATCAAACTCTGAAGCTCTGGCATAAGGTACTTTGATTATTATTGTAAGAAAATCCGGATCCTGGGTCAGTTCAAAAGCTGGAGTTATCATGATGAATCCAGCAGGAAAAGCAACCACTAGCTGTATGGCCCTATCAAAACAGGAAAACAATAAAAGATTACTGTACTTTTCAATTTATTAATGCAAACAGTCTCTCTTCAAAATTCTGTAAGAACATTTCAGATTCTCATAAAATTATCTTCCAAGTGCTCAAGTAAAACACTCATGACAACAGCAACAAAGTGTCATCAAAAATTTGAAGGTACCACCTCTCTGCACCTTAATGCAACAGTTGAGCGTAAATGAATACAAACATTTAGAGCACAGCAACACACCCATTATAGTCCACATCAAAAACACACTAAATTCGGTCCTAGAATTTGGCAGCTTTTTGTAACTGTTGTTTATAATTACACACATAACAGATGTTAGATCTTTACAGTTCATTAGTGAACTGATCACAAACCACTATTAGAAAATACTGAAAAACAGTAATGCTTCCAAAAAATTATAGCTGTATTTTATAATAGTAAAAAAAAAAAAAACAGGCCCAGCTGTTCTTGCTCTTGAGCCTCCCAGCGCTGCTGCACTTTTGGCATCCCTGACGCAAATTAATGACCCCAAACTAAAGTGGAGGCTCCTGCACAAGCCCCAGGTAATCCACAGATCACAGCCATTGATAGCCATCCCACGCCAACAAAATATTCAACCCCCAGCAGCGTTTGCCACAACCTAAAAATCAAATATCCCAAAATAATTGAGCCTTTTCTGTAAAAAGACCGCTATGAAGTATGGGAAAAAAAAAAAAAAAAAACAAAACCAAAACCAAACACACAACAAAACAACAAGGCTAACTACAATGATGCAAAAGGACAAACGCTGTGCTCTGCTTTCCCTCAAAGGCACTACAGTAAGACATCACTTCCCTCCGCGGCGCTTAAACCGGGGCCGAGGCCGACTTTCGCGCTGCACCGCGGGGGCACACAGAAAGGAAGCCCGCCGGCCGGCCCCCGCGACAACCCCGGGACGAGCGAAAAAGCCGCCAAGACGTCGGTGAGGGAAGGGAAGGAGGGAAGGGAAGGAGGGAAGGGAAGGAGGGAAGGGAAGGAGGGAAGGGAAGGAGGGAAGGGACGCGGCCGGCCACCCGCAACAGCACCCACCCCCGCGCCCCTCAGGCCGCGCCCCGCCCGCCGCCACTCACCGCTCCCCTCTGGCCCGGTGCGGAGGCGGGGGACGCGCATGCGCACAGGCAGTGCCGGCGGGGCGGGAACCAGCGGCGGCCCGGCCCGGCCCGGCCCGGCCCCGCCACCCTCCCGCCGCCTGCCCAGGCCCCGCCACCCTCCCGTCGCCCGCCTTCTGGAGAGAGCGAAAGCAGGAGGGGCGCGAGGGGGGAGAAGCGATAAACGGGCGGTCCGCGGTTTAAGCGGGGGCAGAGGTTTAAGCCTCCACCACCCGCCTTGGGCCTGCCCTGCCCTCGCGCTCCCTCAGGGTTTGGGTTGCCCCGGGCCCCGCCTGTGAGGGGGACCCTTCCCTCACGTTCCCCCCGCTGACCCTTTTTAACAAAAGCGGTGATACCGTGGGGCTGACATCCTGGTTCAAGGAAATTCTAGCGATCTCAAGAGATGAAAGCGGTATTGATAAGATCCTAACTGCCATCCTGATAAACCCTATCGAAATACTAGGTAGGGGATGAGGGACCGCAGTGGGAAGATCACCTGCATAACCCCAGCTCTTTCCTCCTTTGTGATAGCTTTAGCCATACCTAAAACTGTAGGCGTCTGACGTGGTCAGATACTGCTGCTTAAACGTAACAGGAAACTGAAAGTTGTGTGTCTCGCAGCTCAGAAAATAAATGCTTATATGTATAAGTAAAGCATGGAGGGAGAACAAGTACCTCTGGGGAGAAGTTAAACTGAGTAAATAGGAATAGAAAGTTTGGAGCTAACATAATTTAAATTGAGGTGGTAAGGATAAAACTATTTAAAGAACTGAAATACGTCAAAGTGGAGAGATGCAGAAACAGTAAACAGAAGAGTGACCCCACGAGCACTGTCAGAATAGGAATTCCCAATTACATACATCTCTTCTAAGACAGCAGATAAATGCCAACAAGATGGACAATGTGAATAGAGGCAGATCCTGATGAATAATAAAAAAAAATACGGCATTAAGGAGAAAATGCAACAAGCTTAAAAAATTGCTAAAAGCAGAGAAGTTAGTTTAAAAGCCCTAATTTACTTGTCTGTAAATATAGCACTTAGCATAGAATTAATCTGAATTTTCTGTCATTAGACCATAAAAAGTATTCTGGTTCCAGGTAACTGCCTACATTTTTAAATGCTGATGACTCTTCCTCTTCCTACCCCCTCTGAAATGCATTCAAATGTTTTTCCTGGAGGGAAAAAAATTACATAACTTCACCTAAAGTTTTGTTTTGTTTGTTTTTGTTTTTTTTTTTTTTTTTAAATAGACAATCAGTCTTCCAAACTGATAAAGATTGATTTTGCCTGCTGGAATTCCACTGAATATGACATCTCTCAATGAGAAGATATTTTCACTCTTGCACAGAACAGAACCAGCGGTTTAAATACCACGCAGATTGTTTTGTTGACATGCACAATAAATAATTGCTTCAAAATAGGTCATTCACCCCATTGATCTAAAATTGATGGATGGTTTTAATATTTAGCCGAAACCTTCTTGTGTCCCAGTTTTTTACATGCAGAAATTGAAGATGCAAAGCATATAAAATGCATTTTTTTATATTAAGAAGTTAATGACATCTAATTTCAGATGCTGATTTGACTTGGACCAAGGCCTCGATCAAGTTCTCAGAAACGTTTGATGCATTTCCAGAGAACTTCAGCACTAATTAACTTTTGGACCTTACCAATGTAATCTTTAGTAAGAATATTGGCCAGGAAGCTGAATTCTGAACCAGTAGGCACCATCTTCTCTAGATAAGTTCAAATTTGCATAACACAAGTCTATGAAAGATAAGGAAGAAGTTTCATGAGAGACTTTATTCTTGTCTAACTGACACTTTCTAAGACTGCCTCAGAATTATTTTTTTTTACACTCTAAGAACTCCCAGACTTTTTTGTCTGGTAATACTTTCCTTGTAAAAGAAATATTTATATGCTGATTTCAGTGAAGAAACTGGTGCATCAGCCATTCTGCTTTTCCATCCAAGTAAAGTATGAAGGAGCATCTCTAAGAAATTTGTGTTGCTTTCTCCTGTGAAAAGTATACCCAGTTTTTCAGAACTGTAATTAAAAAGTTTTATTTAGAAATGTAGAAGGACTACATTTTTGGGGGCATCTTTCTGATGAAGAAGTGAATTTGGCTGCTATATGTTTAATAGAGCACTGAAGAATGAAAACGCATTATGTACAATGTTTTGGCAAGTGACTAGTAAAATTTGCTGTCCCTTTGAAAAGTAGAAACATGAAGCTTTGCAATTTATGAGCACAATTGACTCTACATGGCTAATAATAACAAGTAGATCTGGCACAATCCCATGGATACGATACATAATATATTCTAGATATATCATTGGCATGTACATAAAAATGGTAATCAGATACAAAACATGCATTTAGTCTAACAAGTAAAAAGAGGAATAGAACTGTTTCCCTACCCAGGAAACAAATGGAAATAAAGTAGGTATATGTTTCAATCAGAAACATATTTCTCTGCAAAATACAGTATGAAATACAATATAACTATTGCCATTATCTAAATTATCAGTGCTATAATTTTTATAAACAACCAGAAGTAGTTCTGTAATTGTCAGACTTAGACTTCGCAAAACTTCAGAGTAAATGAATAATGTGAATGATAATTCAGGGGTTTTCCTGAGATGGAAATAGAATATATCATTGCACACTTGAGTAAACTTCTTAATATTCTTTCCTTTAACTTTGAAAACAAGTGAAACCCAAATATTTTTACTTCGTTTGTTTAAGTAACGTGAAACATTCCTCCAAATCTAATGCATTTTAATCTGCATTTCCTTTCCCCATAGATTTGACTTTCCAGGAGTTTATAATCCTTAACAGTTTCACTTTGCTTTATTTTTGCTCTTTCCTGTTGCAGTTTCCATCATCCAAAGACAATGAAGCTTCTCTTTTTATTTCTCCAGAGGGAGGGATCCTGGATCACAAAGACCCCCTGTGCTTTCTTAGTTAAGGATAACAATATGGGTCTCTAGAGGTAAGGATGGTGGGCTTTATAAATTCAGGATCAAACTTGCAAATAGTCCTTACAAGATTAAAATCGTAACAGTCGGGGATGTAAATATGTAGCGTGTTTCTTGGTGTTACATTTTGTGGCGTTACCTGCTAGACACATGTCCCACTTCCTTTGAAGTAGGTGTATGTAAAGTTCGCATGTGAGAGATCAAGTTATAGTTCAGCTTCTTAGTGACTGAAGGACATAAGCTGTAATATCGGTGACTGCAGCGGAGGCCCTAATGAACCTCCCTGAGAGCCTGACCTGCCACTACTAAGCAAGAGAGTTCTTGGATCGATGGCCGGTGGTGCGGTGTGAGGCAGGCGCGTCGGGCACGGCACGTGTTTGTGGCGAATGTGGGGTTTTGTGCTGAAGCAACTTTCAGGTGTTTAAACAGCTTCCTAGGGATCTGTCGTGGTCTCTTTTGTTTTAAGAGCCCTTGGAGTTGTTCAACTTATACTCCAGAAGTAGCATATAAACACCTTTATTTGCTAGCCTGGGTTTTTAGCTCAGTTATAAGACAGTGAAATTTTTAAATTTAATACATGCTGGATAGTATATGGTATAATTTTCTTTCTATGCCTGATCTATAGAGGGTGTATTTCTGTTACAGCCCTGTTCCTGGGAACCTGGCTCTTTTAACACAGTCATTTATTCTCGCATTACATTGCTTGAATCTTTAAATGCAGCAGAAAATAGCAGCTCTTACGCAACCTTAGAAATCGTAATTCAGAAAAATAAAATTGACGAAGAAGGCTTCATTTTTAAGACTTTCTCAAAATATAACTATGCTTTAAATTAGTTCCTTACAGAGCTACTTAAAGAAATTTTATATTATAGTGCAGGCCTTTGAATGATTTGCCTTTTATTATATATGACGATGCCATCATCCTGTGTCTGCAATACAAAAGATGCTGAACACACTTGGTATTAGTAAAATTGTTCAAGTCTAAGATATGTGAAGTTTTACTTAAGCTGGCTCTCCCTACGTAGATCTAAGCCATCAGTGTGAATCTCTCAGCAGCCACTGTCATGTGTCAAGACTGCACACTGTGGCCAGTCCCTTGCTTTGCTGCCGAAGCTGAACACTTGGAGAGTGCAGTGGATTCAGCAGCACCAACCTGAAGCTGTGCACTGTAATCCTGTTTCAGTCCAGCAGTGGAACTGATTTTGTTTGAGCATGCACGCTGGTGGCACGGAACAGTTGATATTTGCACAACTTAATTTGAAAGAAAACGGTGCAAGTAAGCAGGTAAGTGGTGCACTACAGCATGGCACAGAAACAGGGAAAAGTCTCAAAAAATCCCTTAGAATATTTTTCAGATTTCATAACGTTTACCTTGGTATTTTTATGCAGACATTGCTGACACATCTCCTATATATGAAAGAGATTTTATTGATAGTATAAAATCACTCATTTGTACATGTTGAGGATTTCAGGGGGTTGCTACTGGTACTCATTTATTTGTTAAGCATACAGTTTGGTAGGGGTTTATTGTACGTATATTCTCAGAAAAGAGCGTAGGTTTATGCATTGTGGTTTTTCTGTAGTTTCTCATTTAGTATTTCTATTTTCTCTTAGCATGAAGTAATTTATATTTTTACATCTGCTCAGAATCTGAGTTGGATGAAATTCTGAAACAGTAATCGTTCATTGCATTTGCATTGGTACTAAGGTAAAGTATGTGTTGGGAATTGTTGTGACAGCGGTATAATGTGGCCAGGCTGCATCATTTCACTGCCAAGTGAAGGCCATTTAAGTAGCGAAGGACCAACTCTTGGCAGAGTTATCCTAAAAGCAAACTTGACTTTACAGGGCAGGGCTGTGCAGCAGGAGGTTCACCCTTTTGCATGAGATGCATCGGTACAGTACGGTGATCCCTGCCCTCGGCAGGGTCTGACCTGCAAGCTGAAGAGACTTTGTCCTGGCGTAGTGACCTGTCTGACGCGGAACGCCTCCCTGCAGGTAGCACAGTGGTGGGCTTCCCGGGGCAGTCGTAGCTCTGAGGATTGATTTTAACACCAACAGATCCAAGGGCCCTGCCGAGAGCACACCTCGGCGGAGGGGAGAGGCGTGACGAGAGCTGTGCTGGGCATCAGCCCCACAGCGCTTCCCCAGCATCACCGTACAGCTCAGCAGCAGTCCCTGGGGCTGAAACTGCCCACGCAGGGTCTGGTTCAGTTCCAGAACAAACACCGTGCGAGACACGTGAGGCCCCACCTGCCCTGCCCTCCCAAATCCATGCTGGGCATCTCCATTCTTCACGTAGCTAACTCCAGCCCTGTGGGGAGGCAAGAATACTTGTATTTCTGTCATACTGTACATTTTAAGGCGATAATTCAGGTTATGAGCCTAAGTAGGATTTATTTCTGTGAAATTCACAGTGCTGTGATCTCTGCTGACATTGCACGGAAGACCGGCTAAGTAATTCAAGCAGTCGTATGAGGACAAGTCCAAAGCCACCCCAAAGTAAGTGGATGCTTATTTCCTTCAGTGTTGTACAAGCATTGAAGTTTATCCCGGTACAACCTTCCTTCCTAGCAGGTGGGATGGGAACAGCGTGTAGCTGGATGATAAACGGGCTGCAGCGTGGAGGGAAACTCGACACCAGTTCGCCTCTTAGCGCTGAGGGATGAAACGTGCTTTCAGAGACCTGTTTCTCCTCTCACCTTTTCCTCCTGCTCCTCTTCCTGTGCGCCCTCCCAGCACTGCACACATGCACAAGCAGAAACCTGGAAATCAAAGGTGCCTTTGAGCCCCCTCGCCTGCCCTCCCGGGAGCGAGGAGCCGTCCCTTGACCCCCCGCTTTTCAGTGGCGAGGCCGTGACGGAGCCTCCGCCATCCCCCTCTACCCCTGCCAGCGAACCGCCTCCCAGAGCTTCTGTGGCCACCGGGCCCCATCCCTGGGGGCTCGGACGGCTTCGGGCTGACCCGACACCCCCCCGGCTACACACCCACCCTCACCCCGTCCCGTTGCGGGGACCGAGGAGGGGACGGGGCTGCTAGTCCAGAGAGTACGGTAGGACGCGCCCCGCCCCCGCCGCCGGGAGCCGGGCCGGGGCTCGGCGGCCACGTCCCCGCGCCGGGCCGGGCCGCGCCGCGGGCGATGGCGGCGGCGGGCGGGCGGAGGGGCGGGCGGGCGGCGCGCCCCGCACCCTGACTCGACCCCTCATCCCCTCCTCCCCGCCCCGCCATGCGGCTCTCCTGCAAGGTGGCGGCTGCCCTGCTGTGCCTCGGCAGCCTCCTGCTGCTCTATCTGCTGGCGGGCAGCGCCGCCGAGCCGCCGCGCCCGCCGCCCGCTCCCCCCTCCGCGCCCGCCCGCCGCCAGCCGCGGCTCAGCCGGAGCCCGCCGCGGAGGAGCTCCGCCGGCGGCAGACTCGCCAGCGCCAGGTAACGGTGCCGGCTCCGCCTCCGCGCTCCCGGCCCCACGCGTGAACCGGCCGGCGCCCCACGCGCGACCGCCCCCCCCCCCCCCCCGGGGGCTTGCGCAACGGCGGGGAGCCCAACAGGCCACCCCCCACCTCCTGCCCAGCTCCGGCCCGGCCGCTGTCAGGCGTGCCCAGCCCCACGCGTGCCCCGTGGGTCGCTTCTGCTGTGGGTGCTCGCTGATGTCTCTTTGCCGCCCGGTCCTGCGGGCGCTTCCCAGATCTTTTTCCCCGCGCCTCCGCGAGTGACCGGTGATTACAAACCCTTGTGCAAACTGCTCTGGCTTTAGAAGTATAAACTTTTTCCTGCGTGTTTTCACTTGGAGCGTGGTTGCCAGGGATGCCACGAAAGTGCGTGGAGGTAAGAAAGTGCGTGGAGGTCATATCTCCACTTCTGGTGCCCGTGTCCGTGCGGGGCAATACCTCCTCTGCCTGCCTATGCGAGGGCGGCCTCTGAAATAGCTGCTTTTCCATTAGTTTTGGCCTTGTTTTGAAGGCTGACGTGGGGAATGTGGCACTCGCTGGCTGGAGTGCGTGCGGAGCTGCTGTCACTCTCGGGAGCTGCGCTTCTGCCAATTTTTTATTAATGCTACAGGGAAAAGGGAAGGTGGCTGGCTATTTCTGGGTGGTACCACTGGGTTCCAAACCGCGAGGCACTGGTGGATTTTAAGCTCTTGAGCTTTTTGGTTTTGTATGCTTTTCATATGTAAATTAATTTAGCAGAACTTTAAAAAATAGTTTGAAATCGTGGCGTTTCCTCTTTCAGCACCTTACAGGCAGAGTATTTTTTAAAAAACTGTAATTACTTCAGCAAAAGATACGGGCAGCGTGCTTTCGGTGGGTGGAGGACTGTTTTCCCCTTTGCATTCCAACTATATTATGGTCAGTGTGACCTCATATATCTAATTAACTTGGTATGTCTTTGTGTCTTTGATTCATGATTTCACAGTGATGTTCTGAATGAAAGACTATTCCTGGTTTTTTGAGCTCTTATTCCTTAACTTATTAAAGCAGTTGGTTTCTTACAAGCATTGTTACCCAACTGAATGCAAGAGATGTTTACTGTGGCTGAGAATGGATCATGGACAGAATTCAAATGCATGTATTAAAGCAGGATTATTTCCACTAGCAACTGTACCTCCTGAAGTCATTTTTCTTTAAGGCATATCTCTCTGATTATCATGGAAATCAAGAAGAACACTGAAGGAATGAGCCCAGAAAATACGGAACTGCTAGAGAGTGTAAACAACTGTTCCATTTCAATGAGCTTTTCAGTCAGCATCTTCATGTTCCAAAATCTGACATTATCTAACTTTTCTATTATTTATTGACTTTGCAAGTACTTTTTACAAGCTCTGCAACACAACAATAACAAAAAAAAAAAAAAAAAAAAAAGGAGCAATGCTGTGTTTAAACCATGCCTTTTCTTCAGATTTTTTTTTTTTTTGTGGGATTTGGTGGTGGTTGTTTTTTTTTCCCCCATATCTGCTGGCAGGGCGTGATCCTGCACCACTGGCACCAGTAGGAGTTGGTACAACTGAGAAGCACAATTCCGTGGGTCTGGTTCTGCCCCTTGCTGAGAGATTCTGTATTGTGTTAGTTACTACTAAAACAAAATTTATTTAAGTGAGGGTATCCATTAAAAAGAACTTTTTTGGGAGGAGTGGGTGACATAACGTGGTCCAAGTCAAGGAGATGCCTGCCTTCTTGGAAAGGCCGAAACAGCCGCCAACGGGTGCCGTTCTTGACAAATCACATCCGCACTCGCATGGTGAAGACATGAGGTGGTGGGATCCGCTTGGCTTAAAAAGCCTGATCTGAGATACACTGAAAGCAGTGTGAGGCTATTTCTAGGGGCCTGAATTTGGAGTGGAAGAAACAGACAACTAGTTCTTAACTTCAGCAGTGAGTATTCCTGTTGATTTAATAGGCTTTGCTTATGCATGTGCTTACAGTAAGGCACATCCAATGTAACATGCTGAGCCGGTGTTGTTACTGCCTATCCATTCCTATAATGGAAATAATTATTTTAGTTACTCCTTATGAGCAAAGGAAGATTTTTTTTTTTTCATTTGATGCAAAAGTTCATAAATGATCTGATTCCTTCCGGATAATAAAAAATCTGATTATGACTCTGTAAGATCTTGTGATCTGATCATGGTATATATAGGCTGCATGATTGACTAAATAACCTTAGCAAAGTTTCGTCTATGTGACTGTAAAAAGTTTTTTTAATTAGTTTTGCCAAGTTGATTTATGGAGTTCCTTCAGAAGGACGCAGGTTTTGGTCTAAACTCAGGAATAATCAGAGGCATTATCTGGGATGTGCATTTGCTTTATAAGAATCAGTCACGTTGCAGGCAAGATGAATTGTAGTTTAACTGGGATTTTATAATAACACTTTCTGTAGTCACATAATAATAATAGAAGGCATAAGTTTTAAGAAATGCAGGTTTCTTCTAATGTAAGTAGTCATACATGATAAAAGCTTAGCTTAGTCACATACCATGAGCTGGCTGGTACCTAGCAAATGTTAGTAAATATGTTCATGTGTCCTGCTTGGGTCTTTAGATAATTTCGGCAAATCTAGATAAGCATTGCATTTAAGTTTCTGGTTAGCTTTGAAAACTGATTTTTGGTGGTGGTTTTATTGGTCCTTCCTCTTGGAAGTAGCAAGTCCTATGCCTTCGGTAAGATTTTTTTCATATGCAGAATTATAAATATGTGCCAAACGGATGTGTGCAAAGTATCAAAAAGCAGAAGGGTTATTTTACATTTGAAGGGCAGATGTGACCACACTTTCTATTAAACCAGCATGGCAAGACTTGGGAAGTGAACCTTTGCCAGCACATTTAGTTCCCTGGAAGTGACTTTTCCAAAGCAAAGCATCTCTTAGATGGCAGCCTGTCAAGATACTTTTCTTTCTTTGCAGCCTGTGTGCGCACACATGCAAGTTCGCCTTGAGTTTGATAGCCTGTAATAACATGCTGAAGGCCCAAATACCTCATACTCCTCAAACAAAGAACCCACTTGAAAAAAGATACAAACATCCATTCTGGTTTTGCTTGGTTTTCTCCCCTTTCTCTTGAGTGGTGGAAGGAGGCTGAAACTTCAGTAGTTTTTTTGATTGACAGCAGCTTCAGTAAGTTTTGTGCAACTGCATTAAAGTGAGAAAACTATTTTAAAACATTTAGAGCCTTTCTAATTTATATTTTAAAGTGTAAGAGAATGTGTTTCATATAATGGAGCCACTGCTGGGACATTGACTCAGTGTTGACTGTGAGGAAAGGAGCCTATTAATGAATCACCAGTTTTGATACAATGCCTAAATCTAACCTTGTTTATGCTGCAAGAGTAAATGAGATCATAATATGAAGAAGGTTTCAAAAAATAACAACTATATTGCATTTTGTAAGAATCTGCATACATTATCTTCCTCTCAGGAATAAATTTGAAGGCTTGAATAGATTAACAGGCTCTGTAATGAAATGGGAATGCATTATTTTGAATGGATCTGGATTGATTTAGACAGGTTTTGGGTTAATTATGTTTGAGATACTTTGGCTGTGACTAATAAGAAAATTGTATGTATTCTAAACTTCAAGACCTAGAAATGTACACTGTTGTGCTTGAGCACTCAGGCTTCTTCTGCTGTCAGTGCCCATGTCTGTCAAAAAAAAAATCCATGCAGCAAATAAAATACCATTGGGCAACCGGATGGGAGTTGGTCTGTGTTGTTGGAAGACCTCTGCTGTAAACATTTTATGGTGATACATCTTACCGAGTGTGTCTTCAGCTGCTCCATAGGGATGTATTCTGCAAGTATTTTGTGATGTTTTCTGTAGTGCTTAATCTTAGGCAGCGGTGCTTAATTTTAAAGCCGTATAGTAATATAATAGGAGAACAGCAGGTAAGGGAAAGCAGGAAGCAATTTTCTCTGAACAGATGGGTAAAACAGAGAACAGAGCAAAGAGCTTGACATGTTATATAAGTTAGATTTATAATGTATCGACAAGCTACATTTATGTACTGAAATTAGAAGAAGGATATCAAGGCATCAAAGACCTTGTGTATATAGTTTCTTTATTTGTTCTTGTCAAACACATTAAACTTTAAGGCCCATGTCACTGTGTTTTTTTAGATGCATTTAAACATTTAAGTTAGGTCATAAAATCCCATTATAGACTATCCATAACCAATAAGTTGGACTATAAATGAATGAAGGCACGTATAAATGTTAGGAAGAATTGGCTAATAATAATAATTGTAGTACTCTGTGGATCTATGTGCTTTTTAATGTGCTTGGAAGTCTCTTGAGGTAGGTAACTATTACTACTGTACAGCTGTTCCCATTTTACAGGTAGGACAATTAAAGCATAAAGAATTAACGACTCACCCAAAGCTTTGCAGGGGCTGACTTACTGAAATAGAGCCAGAAACGGAGCTCACTTACCCTTCAACCACTACTTCTTTATGTCAGAAGCCTATTACTGTCTTAGATTGATAACCCAGCAATATAGTCTCTCTTCCTTTCCAGCTGTTTTTTATGTGTACCACATTTTATCCTTTATACAGTTTACCACAGTATTAACATACTCCTCATTTAAAACAAAATATGCATCTTTCATCAATTCTATTTGTTGTATTGTCTAGGAACATCAGAGCAGGTAGTGTTTCAGAAAACTCTTAGCCTCCCTGTATGTTTGCATCACTGACCGGTAACCACAGGATAAACAAACGTTTGCAATTAGAGGAGATACACTGTTACCGGATCAGGATTCAGTCTGTACCTTCTAAGAAAACCTGAAAACTACAAGCTAAGGTTTATCCTCTGGTTTCTCTCTTGGCAACACGTGGTGGAGGGAGGCCCTCTTCTCTTCCAGAGGGGATTCAGATAAACCAGCACAGCCATTTATTCAGTGTAAAGCAGAAGCATCGTAGATGCTGTTGGTCAAACTGGAACTGTTTGAAGACATTGGCCGTGTCCTGCAGATCTTTAAGGGATATCCTTTCATCCAGATGTTCCTTCTCCCCATCCCTTCCCCTCCCTGCGCTGCATAAACCAGAGGAGGGAAGGGGAGTTGTGATGTTTTTTGCTGTAGTCTGCTCGTTTGCCTTCCTAGCAGTTTGACTTCGCTTTTACACATGCCTCTTTTCAGAATTCTGGATAATAATAGTGATTTTGTAAAGGCTTAGTTGAAATTACTGTTAAATGCATCCTGCTAGGATGCTCTTTTATCTCCCTTTCTAGCTCACCTTTGTTTTCACAGTCCTTATGTACTGACAAAAAAGATGCAAAATGTTCTGTATCTCATTGCTACTTTCCTGACTAACTGTTGCCCTCAGTGTCCCGGACTACTACTGAAGTAGTTCAAATACTACCTCGTGCTCCTTTTGTGGGGGATTTTTATTGCTACTTGGGCCATTGCAGGCTCCTGAACCCCTTCAGCCCAGGCCTTTCTGACTCATAATTCCTCGTCTCCAAGGCTCAGCTCTGCCCTCCCCTCTCTGGGGCTGGGAGGGTGGCTGTGTTGGCAGGCGGGATGTCTCTTGTTCGTCCGTAGCTCCCGTGGGCTTACAGGGCATTCTGCTTTCATCGAGGGTTGCTTCTGCTGAGTCTGTGTGTTGGAAGTGCTTGTCTACATATACTGGATTTTTCACTACAAAATAGCTGCATAATGGAGAGTTCACTCTGGCTAAAATTTGCAAAGAAAAGCTTAGTGCTTTGGTGTTGGGTTTTGAAATGCTGCAATAAAAGCTTAGAGTTGAGTCCCTCTCCTAGTAAATTCCGTTGCCACAAGCTATATCAAAGCAGTTCTCATCCTGCATATGGCTTGATTTAGAGACTCAATTAAGAGGAAACATTAAAGAGATAGGGAGAAGGGGGGAAAAGGGGATCTGTGTGAGCAGCTAATTATTCACTTCAATAATTCAGTGGTTTTTACACTAATAGGTTGGAAAGTAAATACCACTTCACATAGATGTAGTATTCCATTATTTATGCACTGATGAAATTGGGGTTTAATTAAGACTAAAGCCTGAGACTTTAAACCCTTAATGAAACATGTTGCTTTGTATAGTTAGTAAAGTACCATTGGCTGGTATTCCTTGACAGAGAAGTGGATTACTCTGTAGCATAGAACGCTGCTGTTATACAGAGTGGCATTTTAACGTCTGGAAAAAGAAGATAATGACAGCTTTACTAACTGTCATTTTTTTCTTTATTTAGGACTTTTGTTTCTAGTATTAGCTTTAATGATTAATTGTATATATGTAATTCTGTGTGCTGAGAAGAGGCAGGGATTGATGTCCTCTGCTTAGCGATATGTCAAGAACTGGTAGTGATCTGTGATTAGCCTTTTGAACTCTCCTGTAATGATTACGATGTTTGTGATTCAGTTGCTTTGTCAGCACACATCCATGTAATGGAGTATAAATGCGATCCGTGTTGGAATGTGAATATGATAGGGTAGAAGCATCCCTGGAAGATGTGATTTTACCTCCATACTGATGGGGGCACACACACAAAACCAAAAGGCCATATTTTCAAAATGTCTTCAACTCCCGAAAAGAAGCCTGATTTTTCTGGCCAGCCAATAGCTTCAGTGTGCCTTTTACATGCAGATTGCTCTATAGTGTAGGGGAAATGTATTTAAAGCCCGCACAGATGGGTGCTAAGTGAAAAAAACATAGTTTGGCCCTTGACTACTCGTGGAATATAGTCTGATTCGTCTGGGACATGTGAACATGTTTGTTTTTTTAAATCTCTGTTTTAGCAAAATCTCAGGGATTCCATTGGGTGAAATGGAGAGCAGTCCTTTGAAACTATGCCAGTACCTTCAGGCCAGGATTAAGGCATGCATTTTTAACAGCAAAATTAATTGACTGTTAGAATAATTTACATATGGATGGAGTGAATTTTTTTGAAGTATGGATGTCTTCTTCCAGTCTAGCCAAAAGTTATGGGCCTGGTAATGAAATTACTGGATGTAGTTCTGTAATCTGCATTGTGTTAGAAAATTGGCTAGGTAGTTAATAAGGCTATTCTGGCTTCATAATGTCTAAACTGGGAAAAGAAGCTATCATTTGCACAGAGTAAGTTGTTGTCTGTTTTGAGGTGCTATTGAATTAGTTTCATCTGTGTATGTAGTGCAGTGATTTATACAAATCCAGAAATGTCGAAATAACCAGAAAATTCTGAAAATAGCATATGTCTTTGTGTCGTATTTTTAACAGTCTTGATTTGTACCATTGACAGAATTGGCATGCCATTTGCATCTTCTGTGGATAGCTAATCATAAAAAAAGTCCTCCTGATCTCTTGCATAATGAAGGGGAAGAGAAAACCCCTGATATCTATTAATGCAGAATTCTCTTCAGGTTTACCTCAGTATTTTTTATATGCTTATTTATGATTTTTCAGGAAGCCTGGAGAACAGAAACTTTCGAAAGAGCCTTCATCTTTGCAATGTATGCATCTGGCAGTTGTGGCATGTGGGGACCGGCTGGAAGAGACACTAATCATGCTGAAATCAGCAGTTCTCTTTAGCAACAGGAGGCTCTGTTTTCACATTTTTGCTGAGGATTCCCTTAAGCCTGAATTTGAAAAGAAGGTGAGTTTCTTTGTCATTTGGTAAATAAATAAATGAGTAAGCTATAAGCTGCAAATCTCTGAACAAAATTACATGGAATTCAAGAAGTAGCAACTAAACATTTTTTTACTGTATGTGGTTTATAAATTCCTTATGCATGCCTTTTTTTTTTTTTTTTTTTTTTCCAAAAAAGCTACATAACATGTAGTGTCTAATTCTTCCCCCCATGTCTTTCAGTTAAAGGAATGGCCTTCCTCATACACAAAGAAGTTTCAATACAACATTTATCCAATAACCTTCTCAGTAGGAAATGCTCAGGAATGGAAAAAGTTATTCAAACCATGTGCTGCCCAGCGCCTTTTTCTTCCGGTAAGGCACCTGGATTTCTGAGTAGGTTGCTTTAGGAAAAGGTTAAATCGACAGAAAGGAAGCTTTGCTGGTGTAGTATTAAAACCATTTTTCGGCTGAAACATGTGCTTAAAGGTATTTTAATCCGTGCTTTAGCCACTTAAAAAGGCAAAACAGAAATCCAGCCTCGCTTTTTCTCCTGCTGACAAAAGATGTGTGTTTTTTATTTTGTCTCTAGTTCCATTAGCTTCTCAGACTCTTAAGACTCTGCGCGAGAGCTCTTTCAGGGCAGATGCTTTCAGGGTAGATGCTGCATGCCTTCCATAAATAACATTCTTTTCAGCGTGCAGTCATCATATCCTCTTTACCCACTATCTCCCTTTCCATATGTTAGCCCTTAGACTGATGCTTTCAGCAATCCCTTTTCCTTGAGCTTTATTTCTTTTTCCAAGACTGTCAGATTTGTCCGTAATAATTCCAGTGTGCTCAAAGTCAGACTTCATGCAGAAGCCCTGTGTATCCTGGGATCTTCAGGCTCACTGTAAATTTGTGTCATTTACTGTATAATACTTAGTGTCATAAACTTGGAAAATATTTAAGGTTGCTGGAGAGAAGGAAGGTGTTGATAACAATTTTGCATATGTAGAAATATCAGAAATTGAAAGAACTTTTGCATAAAGCAATTTATCTGGAATTGAGACCATCTATCAAAAATGTCTTGTGCACTGCTGTTGATTGGGGTGACGCCAGTGAAGTGACATGCTCTTCACATGATCCAGATTTCTTCATCGCTGTCTTGTGAGAAATTGGGGGGGGGACAAAGAAATCTTTACTTTCTCAGATGGAAACAATCAGAAGACAGCTGCACATCCAGATATGTAGACTATGAATACATATGTGAGAAAATATGTGCTGTCAGCAGTTCTGCTTATCTGCCATTTAGGGATAGACTATTAAATGCACAAAGGCCAGATGGGCTGAAAGCAACTCCAACTTCAGCAGAGTTCCTCTCTTCCCTGCGTAAATATTTATATCACCTGGAAAATAATCCCTAAGCGTTAGCTTGTTCAATACAGATTGTTTGTAAGGATGTACTCAAATGGGGCTGTTTTCACTGGGTAAACACAGTTCTGTGTTCTTATTTATGTGGTATTTTTTGTCATTTTGGTAGACTCTCATCACAGAAATGGTTTCACTTTTATTTGTTGTCACCCTTCTGATGACAGGAAAGGGTTATGTATTCACGCTGACTCCTTTAGGCTGGGCAGTGCTTTTTTAGTTCCTTTTTTTGTCACTCACATGTCGCCGAAGTTCTCCAGTAACTTCTTGTGAGGCATATAGACTGTTGCATGTTGTCTTAGCAAAACTAGGAGGCAGCCTGATCTGTAAATGTTTGTTTCTTTTGGGGCAGTTGCAAAATGTTGTGTGTGGTCAGACTGAGGTTTATGGCTTTGAATAGGAGGGGCTGTCTGAGAGTCTTGCAGCTGACACCAAGTTGGTGTGTGGATATAGTACAGAAAGCAAGTTGTAGTAATAGCTGAGGTGGCAAGGGTCCAGTTGGACTCTTGGTACTCAAGTTTGCAGGCTGACAGAACCTTGGGCTGTTTCTGGGTAATTTCAGCCACCGTTATTTTGTTTGGTGCTTGATAACTAGGTTCTGATATCCCACTTGAATGAGACAGTGCTGTAGAAATCCAGTCTGTACACAGCGGGAGCGGAGGGTTTCTAGTGTTATTGTTTAGAGAACTATTTAGACTTTTATTTTAAATAAATACCAGCAGGATGTCAATATCCTTTTTTTTTTTTCTTATCCTTCCCTGTACTAAGAATTTTCCCCTGCAGTGGCATAAAATGTGACTGGATTTAGGGAGGACCCCAGGAGAGCAGTAGTTGAGTTTATCAGCTGTTTAGCTTTCAGTTGTGCAGATTGTCTTGCTCCTGATAATGCTAAGCCCGAGTGGAATGTGAGCCTTTGATTCATAAGTGCCTCTCCTGCCAAAGAAACCTCTCCTGCAGCACCAGCAGGCATGTGAAAGTGGGCATTAGGGTATGAGGAATGCGTTAAGGGAAAACTGTGTAAGACTCTTTCAATGGTTTTACTCACTGATAAAACCAGAGCTCAGGGATGTGGTCCTGCAATTTGTAGTAATAAACTGTTTTGTCCTGGGTAACAGGTCGATGTACACATACCCAAACTGCTGAATCTACGTGCGTTGCTAAAATGTTAAGGAAGATCATACAGTATCTTGCATTTTGTAGAGGCATTCTGTGGCATCTGATTACGTTTGCCACTTACATGCAGGGAAAGTAGATCGAGCCTCCTGGTAATCTCACAAGTCTAAATCTCTTGCTGCAGTCTACTACAATAAAACCATCAATGGGATTTGCAAAGGCAGAGTAAGGAAGTTGTGGATCTAAACATGACCACAAAATGAAACTTTAAAAATAAACTAGGAGGGCAATGCTCTCAGCAATCACTTGAAACTGTTTTGTAATAATAACATGGATGTTAAGACACCAGGTGAAAAACTGACTTCTGGTGTCATGAAAGTTGCATACCACAGAGCTGGCTTGCAGCTGTTTCTGTATTGCTGTTTTGGAGCTGCCAAAACAATCAGCTAATGCTTAAGAGATTTTTGGATGATTTCAGTTCTGACAGTAACTAACATTTAGACCCCTTCTCAAAACATTTAATCTATTTAAGAGCTTTTAAGGTAGATTAGCAATATCCCTGTTATATTATGGCTGTCCTCCTGAGTACACTGAACTATCCAACCCAGTGGATCAGTGGCAGCACTGGGAATAGATGCCAGGACCTTATCTAGACAAAAGTCTTCGTCTCTGTTTTAACTTGAGTTAATTACTTACTACAATTAAGTTTAGTAACTCAACTTCATGGTACTGCTACATTAGCATCAAGATTTGTAATTTGTCCCTAATTTTGGATAAAGCTCTGATAATCTGCCATGCTAACTGTTGCAAACCATTAGGTAGCACAGCTTTACAATACACCAGTATGTGTTTAGGCAGTAGTGTGTTATTACTTGCCAACCTTGATAACACAGGGAGAATCTATGGAGCCAGAAGTTGTGAAATCAAGTTACAGATAATTGAGTATTTAAGTGGTCAGGCTAAATATAGCCAATTCTGTGCAGAACTTTTTGACAGATTTACTAAGAATACTCTATATAACTACAAAAAAAAATCACATTTCTTTTAAGCTGTAAGCACCTGTAGAGCGAGGAGGGAGACAAGCACAGTCAAGCCATATTCCTGACCATTCATTTCAAAAATCACAGTCTGTCAGGTATGTCTACACGTGTTGTGCTAGCGAGCGTGAACTCAAGACTACAAGATGCAGTCTTGTGTTGCTTGTGCTCCAGGTCAGGTGCCTGTCACTTCCAGCCTGCTGTCCTGTCCCCCTGGTTAGCCTTCCTGGCAGGCTCGGCATGCTGCCCGCCCGGGCAGAGCAAGCTGGAGCAGGGCCTCTCATACCACAGGCTTGCCTTGTGGTGCTCGACTGTTTTTGGAATTGAAAATCAGCAGAGTCAAAAATACATTGTCTCCTCTTGTATGCTTTTGAATAAGTAAAAACTAAATATTGGTTTAAGGGCTGTGTAAAGCCTAAAATATTTTATTTGAAAACTCTATTTAGTTTGGGAACAGTGTTTGGGAACAGAGCTGCCCAAAAGCAATGGGACATTGGGAATGCCAGAATTATTTAAATTAAGTTTATCCCCAGTGTAACTCCGCTGAAATCCTGGGAGCTATGCAACGAACTCTTACAGCCACAATTTCTGAAATGAAATTCCTCTACCCAAGGCAAAGTTAAATGCACAGCCAGAAGGGGATGTGATCAATTCAAACTGACACGTGTAGGTTTTAGATAAGTCTTAGCGCTTCACATGTGAGAGAAAAGTGTGAAGGGCTTAAAGGAAGTAGCACAGCTTTTCCTTTAGCCTGTTGGGTGTCACTGCAGGGCAACAACACCTCAGACACTGGAGAGGGAAGAATCTTTTGACAGATCAGAAAACAGAGCACATGAAACCTGAGTAGATGAATACAAGGCAGAAGGCGTGAAGTCAAATGCTGGTAGGCACCCACTTCACAAAGAACTGAAATACCTGTTCAAATCCATTTAGATATATAGGAAAATTATTACAGTCCACTGACTTCCACAGACTTAAATTTATATGTATATTTAAGGTGGCTGAAAGAACACTTTTCTGCTAGAAGAAGCAGTGCTCAGGCTGTCACTTATGCTGGGGAGGAGTGTCTGTCTGCACCCTTAAACCTCCCCCTTAACCCTCTGCTGGAAAACACCTCAACTTGTCTCTCTACCAGGGCATCCTTCAAAAAAATCTTACATGGTATACAGTGTGCTGTGGATCCCTCAGGCTCTCTTTGCATTCAGGTGTTATCTCCTGTCATAGACTAAATTGGGGGGGGTGATGATTTTTTTTTTTTTTTTAATATATTAGGATTTTATATGACTTCGTATAATAGGTCCATATGAATTAGGGCTTCTAGGTGCTACAGAATAATATACGGTATCCAGGATATCCTTAAACTGAAAAAACCTTTCTTTTCAACTGTCTGTCTGCTATTGCTTTACTCTTAAAGTAGCTGTCTTTTTTTTACTTGTTTCTTTTTTTTAGTATTGGACTCCAGGATACTTGAAGTTTGCAAATATTTGCCTCTGAGCTCTGACTGTGTTATTGAATTATTTGTGTCACTCATTTATTGATATCTTGAATTGCTGTTTTGTATTTTTTGTGGGAAAATGGTGTATTTCTATAACCTTCCATCCAGCAGAGCCATCTGGATTGTGTTGGACTTGTTTACATGGAGTTTTTTGTAAGCATAACTTTTGTTTAAAATGTAGAGAGTCTTGCCTTCTCCTGCTTGTCCTGCTATGTGGGAAAAACATGTAGTTATCATGTCAAAAATACCAGTCAGGGAGTTGTTAAACTTGGCTGAATGTCAGACTGAATCGTGAGATATTCAGTCAGGTGAAAAACCTGATTTAGGTCAGTACTTATGGATTTGGCCTCTTAATGGATGCCTATTGAGCACGCCTAAACATAATATTTTCCCTCTGCTTGTTCAAAATCTTAATGTTGTTCACTTTATTTCACAGGTAAGCAGTCACGAAGCATTTCAATTTATGTAGAACTAATTTTCTTTAGTAGAATTTATTGTTACCTGCATAAATAGGAGAGTTTGTCATTAGTATCATTGCAATTGGATGAGAGAGCGATTGTTCTGTTCCACAACATGGTGAAAATCAATAGCCTTTTGGATTTGCTTTTCAAAGAGAGAGAGAGAGAGAAATAGGGCTTTTGTCTAAGACCCAGGAAAATTTCAGTCCTTCAGGAATTTTTCAACAGTTTTAGCAAATAATGAAGAAAAGCAACAGAAAATGCAGTTGGAACTGATGGTCACCTTTAGCTAGTGATATTTATTACTTAAGAAACAACCTTAAAAATAGGTGGTGCAAGTATCAGGAGAGTTTTCTTGGATTGCTGAAGCACTATATAATTTGCCCTACTGAAATTCATGAATGAGCATGTAAGGATTTGGATAGCCACAAGGGGGAACATTGTTGGCCAGAACAGATTAAATATCCTGGATCTAATATACAGTTTACACCCTTCTGACTTGACTGACTTTACTGTAGTCATTCCTGATAGGGAGTCCGATAACAGAGATCGGAATCTGACCTGGTAAGATTTAATACTACGTTTCTATTTACCAAGCAAATTTTGTTCTTCAGGAAGATGTGTATACATTTTTGAGATCGATAGGGTTTTCTTAATTCATGTGAAACATTTGTATATATTAATACTGAATGTGAGTCTCCTAGGAGCACAAGGTTGTAATAGGAAAAACAGTCATTAGAAAGGCAAAAGGAAACATGATACCAAATGGAGATGAAAAGTATTCTGTTGTACTAGCTTACCCTTTCTGTCAGTGGAGGAAGCTATATGTTTCACCACTTACAGATCTTGGAAAGAACTGACAAAGCTATGTAACTATATATTCTTTGCATTTTATTTCTAAAAACTCCTTGCAGGTATTTTCGAGAGCTCAGTGGATTACTGTTTCATAGGGAGCGTAGGGTGCAAATTCTGTGGTGTGGTAGCTGTTCTGCTGTGCAGTTCAAACAACAAAACAAACAATAAGCCAATAACCTGATAACTGTTGTTCCTGTGTGTAATTACATTTAGCTGATAAATCAATAACATCTTGCAAATTATCAGTTTAATATAAAAGTACCTTTTGCCAATAAATTTCCTTTTTGTTGTCTATTTGGTTTCTTTTTTGTCTCTTCCTCTCCTCACTATGCAAACCTAAAAGGTAATTTTAAAGGATGTGGATTCTCTCCTTTATGTGGACACTGATGTTCTCTTCCTGAGGCCCATCGATGACATCTGGCACATCCTGAAAGAGTTCAACTCAACACAGCTAGCTGCTATGGCCCCAGAACACGAAATACCAAAGATTGGCTGGTACAGTCGATTTGCACGTCACCCTTATTACGGGACAACTGGAGTCAATTCTGGAGTGATGCTAATGAATTTAACACGGATACGCAACACTCAGTTCAAGGTAAGAAGAAATACAGCTGTTGCAGAAAATAAGGTTTTATGTGTTTTTCACATCTTGTAAAACTTAGTATGAAATTGTATAAAGTTTGCAAATCTGAAAAATACAGAATAGATATAATTGGATACTAAAAGCAATTATAGTAAAAACTATTATTAAAACAAGTGAAACTTCTTCAAGAGGCTGGAGCACTGGGAACTTGCAGATGAAGCAGTCTGTTAGCGGTAGTAAAAATGGCTTCTTCAACATTTCATTTTCCCTTGAAAGATACACGAAAGAGTAAACGCAAGGATCTTCAGTGCAGTCACTGTATTGTTTTTAAAATTGGAAGGCTCGATGTAAATATCCAGAGAAATTGGTAATCTTTTGCATCTGCTGTAAATAGAATTTTGTATCCTGCTGCAGATCAAGTGACTCCATGAATTGACAGAAATGAGAAAGGAACGTTTTCACTGATATCTGACATGTCCCCTCTTTTGTGAAAGGCCTGATTTGTCAAATCTCTATTAGTTTCACTGAGCACGTGTTCTCTAATCTCGTTAAAAACTTTATTTACCCCAAGCAGTCTTGTTCCTCAATCAAAGCCAGGGATTTCCTATAATGTTACAGGAACAGCTTCAGCAAAAAAAGCCTTTGCTCTTAACATCACAGTTCCCAGGGAAGATAATTTTTAGTCCGCGTTTTTCCTCACTTTTATACTTAAGTTTTCACCTTGTCCCTGCATTTTTGCGTTATTTTTCCACTTCTTCTCCGTCCTGTTGCTCAGAAGAGGAAGACTGTGAATAGCAGGAGCTGACATCAGAGCTAGACCCAGGAGACCTTGCCTTCCTGTTTAGATAAACAAGAGCACAGTCAGCTCTGCTGCTCCAACCCTATCCAGGTCTAACATTTCCTGGCAGTTCCTCATTTTTCACCTAGGTATATGACATGGCTTAACAGACTTATGAAGACGTGGGTGCCACACTCTGAGTCATATATCGCATCACTGTTCGTGGTATTAACCCATTGCTTCTGTTTCTCTGCCCTGCAGAACAGCATGATACCGAGTGGTTTGACTTGGGAGGAAATGTTATATCCATTATACCAAAAGTACAAAAATTACATTACATGGGGAGACCAGGATTTGCTAAATATAATTTTTTACTTTAACCCAGGTAAGTAATGATTCTTGGAGTCATGATTATCTGTGTTAAGGAAATTTCTTGAACTTGAAAAATTAAAAAAAAAAAAAAGTGCACTTTATTATTTGTAATATGCCTAATGTACTCTGGCATTAAGTTAATGTGTCAGTGCACCTAGGACTGACAACCTGTGAAAATAGTTCTGAAAGTGGTGCAGATAGTGGGGATTGGACTTGGTTCCATCGAATATGTAAATCTGCTTTCTGGAGATTCTGACAAAATAAGGAAGTATAATATTAACAACCAAATGCGGGAATGAATTTCAAGTTGTATGTGTACTTAGGAGTGTCACTGGAGCAGGGCCTAGTTGCAGAAAATGTTTTGTTTCAGACGTATATTTGAATGTGAAATTGCCAGACTTTCTTCAAAGCTATGCTCTATTTTTTTCTGAAATTCAGCTATTCAGTTAATATCAATAAATTCTGATATTTATGCAAATGACTAACAAAGCTACTATAAACCGAAAATGGACACAGCCATTGGAGTATCTTGTCTAAAACTGTTGCCCTCCCTACTTTCGCTCCTTCACTAAAAGTTACTTTTTGAGAAAAACACTTCCAGCCTCTCAGCTGAACGATCCGTCCTCAGCGGGCACCGGGATGGTGTCATCTATATTCCGCTGCTTAGATTTGTGCATTTTCTACTCTTCTGTATTCTGCTTGCTCTGGGACTATGAAGAGCTGTGGAGGACTTCATGTCTCGCTAAACCTTGTTCTCGTGTGGACCAGCGTGACCAATATGTCTGTACTTGTCAGCCCAGCAAAATGTCATATTTGATTCCTGGCTGTCACTCTTGGACAGTGCCTCCATAAACAGCTTGTAACATTTTAGGTTTGTCCTTTGTTTCCTCTTGAATTGGAGTCGTGTTCTCATGAGCGTGTATTTCCAAGGAACTGGCAAATTTAGGCATCTTTATTTTAAAAGGGTGTGACTTTTTCCACAAGTGCTGAGACAGTTTCTGGAAATTCAGCCCCTTGTAAGTATTTTGTACTGATCACACAGAAATGACTTCAGGCACTTCCAAAAACAGTAACATGTGAGAAGTGCAAGGATTTCAAAATTGTAGCATAGTACGTGCTTCCCAAAGAAGCTGAGAACCTTGTTTCGTGCCTCTGAATGGATGCTGAGTATCCATTCTTACTTGCTTTTCTTTGTTTCCTATGTGACCTTGTATTCCCTCAAGTGATTTTAAGAACAGAATAAGTTCGTATTTATCTTTATTTATTCTGTTCCCTTTTCTTTTTCTCTAAGGAGTCACAGGGTAGGTAATTGGATATACCCAAATCCAGGCAAATAAAAGGAGAGAGCAAAAGTAAAGCAATAAGCTAACATCTGTTTACTGCAGACAGATGTCAAACATTAGCATCCCTGGTACACCATGTATTACCCTCAATCCTTGGGAAAAATAAAGTGGAAGAAATCTTCATTATGAAATCATAAATTAATTTCCATAAAGAAATTAGTGTTATGGGAATAGGGTCTACTTGAGGAAGAAGATGAAGCCAGATTAGTTGTGAAGTCAAACTCAAGCTGCTAACTTAAGTGTGGAGGAAAAAACAAAGATTGCAAAAATACTTCACTTTTGTGATGAGAGTATTCTCTATCATCAAATCCACATTTTGAGACTCTTTGAGACTTTTCTGCACTATAGTGTCTCTTTTCCTTGTAACTGATAAATAATTTTTTGCGCATTATGTAACATCAGACTGCACAAGAAAAGCAAACAGAAGAACTGGATACAGTTAAAACAGAAAACTAGACCTTCCTGAGGTTTTAAACCGCTGGATTGTTGAGACTGGCCTGGGAAGGAATCAGTCAAGAGTGCTGCAGGTGACTTTTTTTAGATGCAGTGCACTGGCTTAAATCTACACAGAACTGTGTTACCCAGGGCCTGAAGAGATGCACCCTTTTTCCCGTCTCTGAAGGCGGCTCTGACAGTTGATGGATCTGAAGGCTCGCAGGGCAGCTAGGGTCTGAGTCCAGCTGTGACAGCAAAAGATGCACAAAAGCGTCACGGTGAGGAGAAGATGAAGAATCCTCAAGTGACATGTACGAAAGCTAATAAGCACCTGATGACGTCCTCTCCCCAGAGTGACCTGCCGATGAGCTGCACTGGCAGATGTCTGTTCAGGGTTCCCGAAAGGATCCCCGCGGGGCGCAACAGGGTTTGGATCAGGTGTTCCTGCTCTTCCTGCCCTTTCAGAAACACTGGGGGGCAATTCTGAACGTGTGATAGGTCAGACTGAATGGAATCCACTTACAATCCACCCTTTCTGGAGAAGTGTCCTGCTAGAGAGGCCTTACGGGAAGAAATGTTTCAGAAACTTTTTCTCCTGCTTCAAGAACCACGCAGGGCCAGCTGCAGACTTCCTGGGAAGGTAGGAAAGGCCAAGTGAAGAATTCAATCTTCAGTCCTTGTGATGTGACCTGCCGGCATCGTGCCATGATTCATTGTTCTCCATTTCTGAAGCAAAAAGCTCACAGGGACTGGTGTGATTTATTATAAGCATATTGCAGCTACTGTGAGTGCATGGAGAAAGTTTTTAAAAAAAAATAAGTAGGAGAAAGGTTATAAGTCCTTTTGAGAAATTAGGCTCGTCTTTAAATAATCTAGACCTGTGAAATCAGTGGATGACAACTCTTAGAAGGACTATGGATAAAATACACTACCTCTTATGCTCTGCTGTTTCTCAGTATAAAAAATGGTCATAGCCTTAGTGAAAGCTTCAGCAGCAGGTGTTGGATATGCTTTGCAAGCTTTCCCATGCTGTCTGCAGAAGGAGTCAGGATTTTGCATAATACTGCTCTGTGTGCTTCCCTAATAATTTCTGTAACTCCAGAAACTTCTTAGAAGGACCGGGGACCCTGGATAATGGCACCTGGTGTGTTCTCTCTGGGTTTGAGTCTGTCACTTTTAGCTTTGTAAAACGCTCCCTTGGCTTGTGCTTTCACCCCGTCTTTGTATTGCCCTCTCTTCCTGTTAGCTCAGGTCTAACAGTGCTGAGATTTGTATAGTCATACCCCGAGGAAAGGAAACTTCTATATCTAGCTGCTGCTTGGGATATTTGCAAAAGAAGTAACTGAAATTTTTCTGATCATCAGTCCCAGGTTTTTCACAGAAACATGCTTTAGTTTGTTGTAACTCTTGTCTGACATGTCTTTTTTTTCTTCCCACACCATCTCCCCTGGCTGACACCGGCAGAGTGTCTCTATGTGTTTCCATGTCAGTGGAACTACCGGCCCGATCACTGTATGTATGGGAGCAACTGTAAAGGTGCAGAAGAAGAAGGTGTGTCTATTCTGCATGGAAATAGAGGTGTCTACCATGATGACAAGCAGCCAACGTTCAAGGCACTCTATGAAGTGATACGTGATGTAAGTCTTCTGTCTCGATAGAGAGAGTCCTTTCATTTCCATGTAGATGACTGCTTTAACCGGGTCACTCAGGTTGCTGTTCCAGCAGATCAGGCTGAGCATAGCTGTGCTTCACGTATACGCATCAGACACCAAATAACAAGGTTGCTTTGGCCTCTCCTGTTTTACTCCGCGAGTGTAATTGAGATGGTTTAAATGATCCTCCTTCATATTATAGTAAATTACTCAAAAAGGCTGATAAATTGCTTTTCTGTAATACTGGAGGTGGGAAAAAAACTGTTTGAATGGAGTTCTTCCTGCTGGCGCTGCAGCTCTGGTCCCCAGATACCCAATGAGAGCTTGTCCTCCCTGAGCACCTAGAGCCTCTGGGCACATGGAAGGCAGAAGCTTGCATACAGACACAGATCCATAGTTCCACTTTGGATGTTGCATGTGTACCAATCCACTCTCTAAAATACGTTTCGTTACAGTATCCCTACATTAGTAAATCTCCTTTAAATACAGACTCTAGAAGTGTAGTTTCTGGGAAGTTGGCTATTTCAGGTAATGTGCCCAGGGTAACTTCGGAAAGCAAGCACCATCAAGCGTGAGTGTTTGAAGTTGATAGGTTTTGATGACACTCTGGGAAGGTGAAGGACAAGCCATCTCTTACCTATATAAGGTTTTATCTTACAGAAACTTCTGAAATGCCATTTTGTAACTAGTGAAAACTAATAATTCCTTTCTTCTTTTCTTCAGTTTCCATTTGAAGACAATCTCTTCCAGTCTTTGTACTACCCTCTGCAGTCTAAGTTTCTGGATACAGTGCACACTTTATGTGGGAGAATTCCACAAGTGTTTTTGAAGCAAATTGAGAAAACTATGAAGAAGGTGTATGAAAATCGTGTCATTGTCTACTTGGGGGCCAACCACAGATACTAAATGTAGCTATATTTTTACGCAGTTTTTAATTTTTGCACCCATCTCATGAAGCATATAAATGAAGAGTATGAACTCCTTTACTGAAACTCAGAATTAAAGTATTTTCCTTATCCAACTTCCTAATAACCCCTGAAAATACAAAACCAGAGGAAATCCTAGAAGTTTACCTAAACTGTCCTTTCTTAGGCCTTTTGTTCTCTTCCCGTGTTAACTCTTGGTTGCAACAGGGAGAGGTGATGATTCTCACTTTTATTTGACAAATTTAGTTTGGTTATTTAAGTACAGCTGTATTCACTGTAATTTTTTTTGAAGTTGTGCAAAAGCTTGTACGGATTTTAGGCTTGACAAAGAAGTTACAGTTTGAGCTATGTAACATAGGGAATATAACTCTTGAAATGGCAGGGCAAATATTCTTGACTGTCACGAGAATGCTGAATTACAGAAAAGTTCACTCTTGTGAAAGGATGAGTTAAAATTTACCATAGTAAAGGGAAAGTATTTGCTTAAAATTGCACTTCTGTCTGAAGTGTATTACCTGCTATTCTTCACATGTAGGACCTAAGATTTCTCTTACTTAAAAAGATTAGGGGTATAGAAGTGCCTATTTACTTTGTATTTTACCGCACTTTTTGTCTAGTCATTTTTCCCTTCTGCTCTTCAGTAGTTTCTTGAGGGCTTCCCATGAAGGAATCAGAAGGAAAATAATTACAGCATAACTAGGAAGGCCATGTAGAAGAAATGGGAGGGCGGTGCGATGGAAGCTGTGGCACCTGCACAGCTGATGGAGAAGAGCAAGGGAATCCTTTCTTGCGTGGATACGGTCATGGTCTTCCCCTCCAGTCTCTTACAGTTTTAAGAATGTATTCCCTAACTTGGTAACACTAATTGCATTAGACACAGTCCAAGAATATTGTGAATGTACAAACCCAGATACTATTCATCTGTTTTCCTCTTTAATTAATCCTCCTTAATTGCTGTTTACTGCGCAGTAACAATGGTATGCCACCGACAACTGTTCTTCCGTCCCTATGTTGGGAGACGGCGAATGCTGCTTCTGACTCCCCTTTTCTGCTCTGCCAGAAACCTGGGGCATAGAAATAAATGTATTTCTGCCTGGCACCTGCGTTCCTGGAAGCTGACAGTTTTATGCTAGGGTGATAATGAATAGCCTCAAAGTGAAAGAGGATACAAGATGGCTTTGATGTTTATTTAAAATACTCCGTTTAGTTTAGATTTTGAAAGTATGACGATCGTCTTACCATATGCACAGACAAGAGCTTATTAAAACTTGCGGTAGCTGAAAGGTGCTCGGGGCAAGTCACAGGGGAACTGAAAGTGAGGACACTCTTAAAGAGCAGTGATACAAGAGCAGACTCCCCGAGGATCTTTTCTAAGCGTAGGCCCTGAAGGGTGTGCGTAGGTGAGTGCTTGAAGAAAACAGCAGAGAAAATGATATTATTTTCCAAGTCTGTAAAAGTTAGCCATTACTTAGAACTACTCACTTTTATATCCAATAGGCAAAGTAGGAGAGGGCTGAGGAGGGTGAGATACATGAAGCTTTTCTCTAATGAAAGGAAAACTGATACAGATTGTAGGTCCTGTACAGGTGACACACATTTATTAGAGATAAATATTTGGGGTGTGTGGATGAGGGAAGGGATATGTTTCTGAAGTTAAAAAGTAGGATTTCTGAAGAATTGTGGTTTTGGGGGTTTCTACCCCATCGAGTCAGGACTGATGCACAGTTTCATAAGAAAACAGACTTCAAGAGAAAGTCCTTTGAGCTTGTGCATTCTTGTCTCCTTGTGTGGCAGCTCACGAGAGGAGGGAAAATGCAGGCGTTGCTGGCCTCTGGGGCTGCCAGATAAACAGCCCGTACACGGGATGAAGTGCCGACAAACTTTTTCCAAACGCTGGAGTGTGAAAATGTCCGTGACGCATCCGCAAGCGTGCTGGGTGAATGACACAAGAGGGCAAACAGCGTCACGACAGTCATCTGAGGGACAGAGGTGTTAAGCTGGAGGCTTGGAAGAAGGGGCAAACGGCCTCGGCCCCAGCGATTTCACTGCAGGCCTGTGCTCACAGGCACGACAAATGGAAACCTCTGTTCTTTGCGCCTCTGTGTGCTCCAAATTCCAATCAGCAGCTCGTGCCTGTTTCTCACCCAGATCCATTATCTCGCAGCCTTTGCCACACGTGTAAATCGATGTGCAAAGGACAGAGGCAGCTCTGCATCTATTTTGATTGAAGCCCGGGACCCAGAAAGGCATTTAATAAACTTCAGTGTAGATGTTCCTGTCTCGTGCAATTTGCCTTAGTATTTTCTGGTTTTACCTGAAGTTTTGGTTGCCACTTAAAAAGAAGAGCACATCTCTCTGCACAGAGACAAGTTTGAAAACTCAACCCAAATGAACCTGGAAGACTTCAGAGCCAGAAAACAATGAAAGGAGAATTCAACGTGCTGTTTTAAAAAGTTTAAAGTAATGTAAGCCTAACATACGACAGGTAAACCTTTCAGGCTAGCAATGCTGAGAACTTGTAAAAAATACTAGCTTGCTTTTTGATCTTTATTTTCAAATACCGGGGTAAAGCTGACTGTAGGTCAAACGAGGCTAGATGAGACGCATGCTGGGCACTCTGAATTCCTCATTTCTATGGTGTTTACAAGCCACAGAAAGTTGCAGAGCAAAAATCTTATTGCCCAGACAGTTGCAACTCTGGTGCTAAGCCTCTGAAGTTCAGGAGGCTGCGATTGTGTAAGCTATGATTCAGCAGAACCTTGCAACTATAGGCACATTAAAATGAAGGAATGGAATTCATTACAAAACAAAGGCATTATTGCATATAAAGCGATTAGAGATTACAACAGTGCTTTTTATGTTTACAGGAGGTGCTACATTATGTTTAGAAAGAACTGTGTTATGTTCTCAACACCTATTAAAATATATGAAGTATATGCTTTAGCATGAAGACTTTAGTTAATGTAATATCAACTTGCAGGAAAAATGGGGGAGGTTCCCCCCTGCTGTGCTTTTTCTGAGAAAATAGCTACAACTTGAGTTCTCCAAAGTGTTTTAAAACAATTATGTAACTTTGATATTTTTTTGTTATTGTTAGAATTATTAATTTATATTTTATTACAGCTTCTAAAACCATGTTATATTTTGGTTTTATCAGTAGTGGATTCTCATATTAATCTTATTTAGAAACCAGTTTTAATTCATTTTGTATTTCATACTTGTGGCTAATTCCTTGTTAATTAGCCTTCATTTATTTTAATAATGGGATGTGTAAATACTTATATAGACTTTATATCGTCATTTCCCCTTCCTCTCGTGTATTTTAGTTATTTCCAGTGGTATAATGTAACCAAAACACCTTTGCTAATGCAACACCTTGAGCAGTGTCATCATACGTAGGGGGGAAACAAAAATAGTTTTCCTGAAATGAATAGAGGCTCCAGCACACGGAATGTATTGATAACAAAGGAAGAGAATCACCTTTCACACTGAGAAAGAGACAGCAGGGTAGAGCCCGGAGAACTGTGCCCCAGCCATCCGAACATAAGCCCTAACCCAGCAGATGTCTGATACTCTGAATTTTGCCTGTGTAGTCAGTAGGCTTCTATGCAGTGCATAAAGTTAAGCGTGTAACCAAGTCCTTGCTGTATCAGCGTCAAACATTCAGGTTTTAAATTTGCTTTATTATACTTGAACTTGCTGAAGATAGATAAAAAGGGGCTTTTTATTAAGAGCTGCTGAACACCTCCTTTTAGCCCAAAGCCTTTTAGGAAAGTGTCAGGCTACCAGTGCGCATTGTACAACAAAGAACTGCCAGAGTGGGAAGCATCTGGTTGCATCATTTATATAATGTGAGAGTTTTTCTAGGCTATTTGCCTGCATCATACCAAGTGGGCTTAGATAGCTCCGCTATCATTTCACTTTCAGGTGGAAACTGGAAACTGCTCTGTGTGTGTGTACACAACAAGAGCACATGTGTAAAGAATTCTGTACCTTTATCATTTAATTGCTTGTTTATTTTTATTTGACAAGTGCACCAATTGTTTATAGCTCCCAAGGAGGCCTAGCAGTGCATTTCTGTGTTGATTAAGATCCTTTGGCTTACAGTACAAATAAATGAAGTTTTAAGCAAGCTCTGTGTTTCTGATAGTTTTCTTTTAAATGTAACGCGTGTGTGTGTGCTGTCTCTGGTGGGAAGGAGTTTAGTATTAGTGCTGTTATAGTGTATATATACAGGGTATGTCTGCATCAAGCAGAGAAAAATGTCACTCTTACAATTTTACTGTAGTGAGAGATCATTATATTGGATATGTTACTGAAAGAGACAAATACATACATTTAATTTTCCTCAAAATGCTAATGGGTCATGCTACAACTCCAGTTGTGTTACAATGACCATAAATCAGAACCCGGTCTCAAAGAAAACTGAAGTTTTACCTTTTACTTTTTACTATTTCTCCGGTATCTTCTGCTCCTTAGAGGATTAGGTCATTTAGCATCATTTCCTTTTCCTTCTTGTATTTAATTTTATTTTTTTGACAGTCTTGTATGGTCACTGCTGCGATGTCCCTGGTTGTGCTGCATCTCAGCGTGACAGAAGCTCCTGAGTTGTCTATTCAACCAAACCAGTTGTCCGCCTGGTGATGAAATTGTTTTCTCACTTGCTCAACTTGCTCAGCCTGTGTGGTATGTTGGGCTCGGTCACACTCTCTTTGAAGTCAAGAATAAAACTCCTATTGATATTCATGAGAGAAGGTAAGGCCAGCTGTCAAACAACAGTACCCTGTACAGCGCTGCCCGGTCTCTGGCCTGGGCGGTGTGTAGGTGTGCAGTGTGTGGTTATCAAACCATCATCAAACCCGTTGGTGATGTCCTGATCCAAGATTTTTCACTTGCAAATGTGGCTTCAGTCAGTATTGCTGTGGGGAGAAGACACAGTTTTTCCAAGGGACAGGCTAGGCAGAGGTAACGCGGGCACGAGAGCAAACGGGGTGGGCACTGACCTGTGGCTGCTCAGTCAGAGGCAGGGACCTGAACCGTCATTTCCCACGGCCCCGTTGCTGCACTGCTGGATTCGTGACATCGGTCTGAGTCTCGGCTGCAGCTCTTCTATCTGGAAAAAATAAACTCTGAGTTCACAGAAGCAAGGCCTTGGAGCTCGGTTACCCACAGCCAAGGGGCCTGGGTACTGCAACAGCCTCCTTCCCCCCTGCCCTGGCCGCTGTACACACACCGGTAACAGTGGCTCCCACCCCAGGACACGTCCTCGTCGCCTTGTCGTGGAGCACGAGTCTAAATGGAGCTCAGCTATGATTTTATGTCCATCCTCCTAAGTGTGATCCTAGTAGAGGTAAATTCTCAGCGTGTTCTGTGACATTTAGAGCTGGGAATGAAGTACAGCTAACCAAAAAAAAAAAAAAAAAAAAAAGTGAGACTTTAATATCAGGATAGATCTTGACACTTCATCAACTTCAGCACAAACTGCTGATTATTTAATTTCAAATAATTGCCTTCCCGCTGCTTCAAGAAGAGATTCCTAAGAATCGGGTACCTGTAACCATAAAGGAGCCAACATTCAGGGAGTGTTTTGCTGCTCCCCAACAGATACAGTCAAATACGATGCTAGTAAATAACAGCAAGTTCCCAGCCAGGGATGGGTGGCACAGGTACGGGGGTTGTCCCCTGCCGAGGCTGGAAACATTCCCCCACTGTGCTCCCGAGGCAAGTGCGTATCCACACTGGGATCCACACAGACTGCAGCCTCCCGTCGGCATGAGAGAAGGAATTGCTGTTTGTGCTTCAAAAGGAATAGCAATGTTTGGAAATTTTTCTTTCATTCTGGATCGGAATAAGAAACAAACTGTCAACACTTCCTTTGAAATGAAAATGGAAACTGAGATGAAACACCAACATGAGAATCAGCATTTAAGATTAACAAAGCACTTTGTTAATGTTTTCTTTTGAGGTAAAATATTTTGTTTTGACTATTACATTTCTATAAATGTACCATAATTGCTTATGTTATTTAGTGAAAACTACGGTATAGTCCGAAAATGTGTAACAGTGTCTTAGAACTAAAATATTTTGCTCATACTGAAATAACAACGCTGTGATGATACGGCCCTTTTTTTAAAGAAAAAAAAAAGTGGCATCAGTTGATGCAGTTCCTGCAGAATCCCCTTTCCCTAATCCTTCTGCAGCAGGTTCATTCCCTGCTGTGGTGGTCAGACTGTGCAAAGCAGGTGCCTTCGCAGGGTGCACATCTTGAAAAAAAGATCTCCTTCCTCTTCTGCTCGGCGCGTCTACAGGGCAACTTGTTTCGAATACCGGCTTCCTCACACCTCAGGCTCCAGGTGAAAAACAACTCTGGTTTTAATCTGAATGATCTTGTAGTTTGTAGAGCAGCCTACAAGAAGCTTTCTGTCCTAGGGATATACTGGGAGGAAGGTGTGAGAAAGCAGTTTGGAAAGAAAACTGCCCTGGCACTGGTTTGCCATGGGCTCGGATTAATAGGAGAAAATACGTGGGGGTTTGACATGTGTCAGTGCAGGGTTAGTGACTAACCTAGGTAAAGCCTAGAATGTTTATCACATCTAACTGTTCCTTCTTTTTTTTTTTCCTTCTTTTTTTTTTTTTTTTTAATCTCCCTGTGAGTACTCTTGCAAAATAAAAACCAACTCCCACAAATGCCATTTTTCTGTTTTCAGCCTTTTCTGGATTTAAGGTACTACATATGAGCTATTCTGATCTTTTGATACTCCTGAGTCTTCCAGATCTATTAAAAGCCTATTAAAGATTTTTAGTCATTTTCTCAGAAGACATAATTTGCCTCAAACTGGCTATGATATACTTTAAAGAAAAAACAAAAAACTTTTCCATTTTGAATGCTGCAGAGACAGACAATTTTTAGTGTCGTTTCATTGTACCATGCTTAAGTTTCTGCAGCTATAAACTAAAAACAAAACCAACCAACCAAACCCCCTAATCACCTCTTGTAAATCCTTTGATGTGTATCAATGAATAATATTTTCTGAAGACCTAAGTGGGTCTTGATACATTGGATTGTTCTCATTTTCTTATTGTTCTCATTACTCTGATTCTGTTGCATCTCCCTTGCTTGATACTGTGTTGAATTGCAACGGATTCTTTCAAAGCACACTAATCAATTTTGGTTCAAACTGAGTTGAAATACCTTACAAATTGCTGTCACACATCAATGAATGAAATTACATTAAGTCAGGTTAGGTCAGGAATCTCTAGAGACCTAATCTAAGCTTCATTAGTGAAAGCAAAGTACCTGCTAGTCCTACGCCCTACATCATTTTAATCAGCACTGGGCCTCGTGCTCTGCGCCCAGGGCTTGGACAGTCTCTATTTCTGCGGAAGCTTCCAGAAGTCTTACAGTCCTAAACCTCAAGAATCAAGCTTTGTTGTTTGTTGTGGAGTTCAGGACCTGCCAGGGCGGTGAGATAAACTGGCCCAGCTGAGCCCCCGCCGCTGCCGAGACGCGTATCCTCCATCCCTCCGCCTTCCCCTCTGCTGCTGCTCTTCCTCTGCGCGAGCTGAGCTGGCCGCGCCGCGCCGGGAGAGCCACTGATGCTGCCGAGAACTCACCTGACTGAAATCACAGCTTTCGACTGCGTCGACATGAAGGACAGAACAGGAAATGCAGGAATGCCCTTTCTGGGCAGTGCACATTAATCTCCCAAAGATCCATCAGAACTGGCAATATCTTTTCTGCCCTTTTTTTGTTGTTTTTGTCTGCAAAGAGTGTGACACGATTACGTTGCTGTCGCTTGGTTTCTAGTCTGTTCTAATTTCTGTTGGTATTTCAAGAAGATGACAACGTGGAAGTACATAATTATTCTATATAGCTTAGATGTTATTTCTCTATCTGCCCTCACCACCTAAGTGTTATCAAATCAGGGCTTGACCTGAGCTTCTCAACTGTAAGGCCAAGTCAGAAAATAGAGATTTGTCCAAGTGCATCAGGCAGAACTAGACTCATTGTAGGCAAGACCTGGTCCTGTTCTCTTTGAAAACCCCCCAAAAATATGTTTTACAGAAGCTTGAAAGAAATCTAAAACATAAATCTAAACAAGACTTTGTGTAACTTTAGTGCAAGAAGAAAAACAAAATTTGGATTGTAAAACAATTTCTCAGTGTTCTTCGGTTAAATGTTTAAAACCACCACATCTCCTTTCCTAACAAGGTAATTTTTTTTCATTCCTGATTCTCAGTAAATACTCTAAAAGCAGCACTGGGAACTGACACAAACTGAAATCATACTCTCTCTGTATGTTTTTATTACAAGGTGTGCCAAATACCTTACAAAGAAGAGTAATTATAATTTCTGTTTCATTAATGAAGCAACACAGGTATGATTGCCTCATTCATTTGCTTGTGATCACACAACAAATCATTGATGAAACTACCTACAAGCTTTTTTGTACTCTAGGATTATATTTAAATGTTTCTCCTTTGAAAATGGAAGGGAAAGATGATTTGCTGTGAGTTGAAATATTTTTCAGTTAGTTGAGGGGATGTGGGTTTCAAAATACACAAACCTCCCCTAAGCTGAGCTTTATCCTAAAATGCATTTGAAATAATCTTTGTTGCCATACAAATATATAAGTCATTCGTGCGCTTTCTTTATTTTCATAGAAATAATTGTGTTTTTTATTTTGTTCCTGACCCAGAGGATATGGCTCTATTTTCCCCAGAAACAGGTAGATATTATTTTCATATCTTCAAACATTTTCCCAGAAACAAACAAACAAACAAACAAAAAAAAAAACAAAACCACCTACCCCAGTGTTTTGATTAAATCTACATGTCTGTCACTGAATTTCCAGGACCTCTTGATGTTGCTTGTCTTTTTTTTTTTTTTTTTCAATTAATTCCATTTAAAACATCTTTCCTGTAGAAACAAAAAAGTTTTTGGAAGTACATTATTTGAAAAACTGGTCTTTTTTCCTGTAACAGAGGAAGGAAGGAAGAGAGCAGGATGAAAAATGGAAAGCATTTTCTCTTACTGCTCCTCCTGTGGTAGGAGGGCAGGAGGAGAAAAGACAGGGAATGTGGCTTTATTATTTATTTTCCACAAGTTGAGGACCGACATGTTTAAAAATG